CCCACACCCCCAAGGTAAGGAGGCTCTCGAACAATGTCGCCTGACTCTATTATGGGGCATCCAGGGAACAACTAAAAAAACCGACCAACTTGTCTAAGGTGAGCGAAACTGTCCAGTGGGTGGCGGAATCCCCCTCCGCTTTCCTAGAGTGTCTCATGGAAGCTTACCAGCTGTTTACACCCACAGACCCGGGAGCCCCTGATAATTGGACAGCTATTAATATTGCCCTTGTTACCCAGTCGGCCCCAGACATTAGAAAGAAACTACAGAAGTTAGAGGGCTTTAAGGGAAAGCTCAGTTATGCCCGAGAAAGCCACCTGTCTGGGCTGTGAGCAGAGAGGAAGAAAACGGTCCCTCTCCACAAGCCGCATGGAGGCCCTTCTGAAAATACCCCGACCACAAGCAAAGAAACAGGTCCAGGAATTTCTAGGAACAACTAGATACTGCTGCCTCTGGACACCCCAATTTGCAGAAACCGCAAAGCCCCTATACACCAGTACAGGGGGAAAGACAGACAATTTAACTTGGACTGAAACTGAGGAAAAGGCTTTCCAAGAACTAAAAGAGCCCTGGCCGGTTTGGCTCAGCAGTTAGAGTGTTGGCCTGCGGTCCGGAGAGACCCGGGTTTGGTTCCCACTAGGGGCATGTGCCTCGGCTGCAGTTTGTCCCCGGCCCTGGTTGGGTTGTGCAGGTGGCAACCATTCGATGTGTCCCTTTCACATCGATGTTTCTCTCTCTCTCTCTCTCTCTCTCCTCTCTCCCTCCCACTCCCTCCCTCCCACTCTATCTGAACAAAAAAATGGAAAAAATGTCCTCGTGTGAGGATAAAAAAAAAAGAGACTCTCATCAGTGCCCCTGCCCTGACCCTACCTGACCTCAATAAGCCTTTCCAGTTATTTGTCTCTGAGAAGCGGGGATTGCTGCAGGAGTACTCACCCAGGCCCTCGGTCCCTGGAAACGTCCAGTGGCCTTCCTGTCTAAGAGACTAGACCCAGTAGCCTCTGGGTGGCCACACTGCTTAAGGGCCGTAGCGGCTATAGCCCTGCTCACTAAGGAAGCCTCTAAGCCGGCCCTGGGACAAGATTTACAGATTACAGCACCCATGCTGTTGAAGCCCTACTCAGGAGTCCCCCTGAACAATGGATGTCCCATGCCAGAATTGTCCAACGTCAAGTGCTCTTGTTAGACCCCCCAAAGGTTAAATTCCTAAAGATTGCTGCCCTAAACCCTGCCACCTTGCTGCCTGATGATGACCCAGAAGAACCTCAAGGTCCTGGACTCCTTGACTAATCTTCAAGCAGACCTCAGAGACATCCTGGCTGGACCCAGATGCTAATCTCTACACAGACGGGAGCAGCTTCATGTCCAACGGCCCCAGATATGCAGGAGCTGCTGTGGTAACACAAGATAAGGTGCTCTGGGCACAGGCATCGGGACATGGGACTTCTGCACAGAGGGCTGAACTTACAGCCTTAACACAAGCCTTATGTTGGGGAAAGAAGAAGACTATAAACATTTACACTGACAGTAGATATGTATTCGTTACTGTTCATGTACATGGGGGCCCCTATCAGGAGTGGGGACTCCTCACCTTAGAGGGAAAGGAAATTAAAAACAAAGCTGAAATCCTGGCCCTGTTAGAAGCCATCTGGCTACCTCAAAAGGTTGCCATCATTCACTGTAAAGGACATCAGACAACCGATGACCTGATGGCCTGGGGAAATGCTTTTGCAGATCAGACTGCAAGAGAGACTGCTCAAAACCAGTAGGGCCCCTCCAGATTTTACCTGTGCTACCTCCACAAAATCTCCCTGAAGTTCCCTCTTATACAGAAGAAGAAAAAGAACTCAGAATTAAGCTAGGAGGGAACATAAACTCTTCCGGTTGGTACATACTCCCTGATCGAAGAATTCTGTTACCTGAGGCACACCCTGACCAGATACCAGGAAAATGGACCCTTCAACGGACAGACAACACTTTGAAGGTAAAATTACTCCAATCCCAACCCTGCTACTTGGGACCTCTGCTTCTCTGACTTGAGGAAATCCCCACCAGCCAACTCAGTATCTATGGAGTCTTAGTTGGACCCATGATGGACATGTTATTGCCACTAACACATCCTTTGGAACAACAAACTTATATTTTGATTCCTATGCCAGAGGACCTCCAAGAAGACAAAGGCCCCAGATTACCTGTAGCCCCAGAAGGGACTTGGTTTGCCTGCACTACCAGACTAACATCCTGTATTAACTCACGTGATGATGATTTTGGACTTGTATTCTAACTGATGTAATCCCACAGGCCTACTTTTCTCTGGTGAAGGCGGGCGCGAGCATTCTGGAATCTCAGCTGGAAGGAAAAACGGGCAACACCCATATTAGTCCCACTCTTGGCAGGCTTAGGGACAGCAGGCTCTGCAGCCATTGGTACGACTGCACTGGTCACAGGAGACCAGAATTCTAAACAGTAAACAGATAGATCGAGACCTCTCAGACCTGGAAAACTCTATCACCCATTTAGAAAAGTCCCTAAATTCCCTAGTTGAAGTACTATTACAGAATAGACGGGAACTTGATCTCTTCTTAAACCAAGGAGGTCTATATATGGCTTTAGGTGAGACCTGCTGTTTCTATGCTAGCCACTCTGGAATAATAAGAGACAGTTTGACTCTAATTAGAGAATTAAAGACTGAGAAGAACTAAGAAAATCAGGAAGCAACTGGTTCGAGGGTCTATATAACTGGTCTCCATGGTTAACGACCCTCTTATCAGCAATAGCAGGACCTCTTCCATTATTGCTCTTAGGGCTACTTTTTGGCCCCATAATTATTAACTGTTTAACTAAATATATCAGAGAAAGAATCCAGACAGTTAAACTTAGGGTCCTAAGCACCCATTACCAAAGAATTCAAAATTCAGGAGAGGAAACAATGACTTGTTTCCCCTGAAAACCAGTGGGGAATGTGCTGGTCTGCTCACATCACCTCGCCCTGATTAAATAAACAAAAGGCCGACTGGGGAGCTCTCAGAGGCAGACTGAGGAAGCACCAGCTGGCCTGTACTCCTTTAAGCGAATGTGTCCTCTAAGCGAATTTGTTCTTTGTTAGAGCTTAGAAAACAGAGTGACTAGCAGGACAGCCTGACCATAGATGTGTGCCCCCTCCCACCTCCACCCCCTCCCGCTCATCGCCAGCTGCCTCCGCTTCTGTACTCGCCTGCTCTCCCCCAAGGCCAACAAGAAACGCCAGTTGCAGAAATTTGTAACAAGCCCCCCATAAAATAGAAATGAAGCTGAAAGTCGGGGCTGATCTCTGAGAACTCGGGATCAGTCGCCGGCGGCTGTGCTCTCTAATTGGCTTTCATTTGGCTCTGGTGGTCTCTCGGTTCTCTCGCGCCACAACAGTACTATCTATGCTTTAGGTGCTTTAGCATTTTTCATACGAAGAACTAAACAATAGAGCAGCTAAGTTACTAGCTTCAGTCACGCACTGATATGCCATAGGTGAGTCCTTGTGTAGAAGATATGGACCAGAGCCTAGCATATAGTTAATTCTGTGTGTTTATATCTGACACACACATATATCCTGCTTCTTCATTTAACACCGTATCACGAGCCTTTTCCTATATCATTAAATATTTGTTCAAAATGACCTTAGTTTAGTAATGAATGCATGGGTGCTTTGTCATTTAATCGTTTGCTGTTCAGCTTGTTTCTAGTTTTTAACGAGTGTAAAGAATGGTACAGTGAAAAGAAGTAACACACAATCTGCAGTCTATATTAATGCAAAATACACGGATAAAAGCAATCCAAAATAAGTCATACGTATTTTTATGGTAGATGTGTAAATATTTTTAAGGGGGCACTTTTGAATGTTTAGTTGTAAAAGTATAATGAAAAAATGTCCTCATTAATATGCCTCATACTTTAGCTACCTTTACAAAGCCAGAGTAGAAACTAGTCTCGTGAGTCCAAAGCAACACACTAAAAGCAAAGAGTTCAACGTAGTAAGAAGCTGCTAAGTCACAAGCTTGCCTCACTCATTTAAAATTAAAGTTTCAGTGATTCCATAAGGATTCCTTTTCAAATCAATATTTTAAATTATTTTTGAGTTACACACTACATAGAATATTAAATATATAGAAAAATCTTTACAGTTTACTATTATCAGTACTAATACATTAATAAAGTCCACTTCATCATACTGGCAAAAAAAAAAAAAAAAAAAGAATAGTACAGTGAGCATTCTTATAAAAATATCTTAAATGATAAAAATGACCATATGTGTACTTCCAAGGGCCCAAGGGTAAGAATATACTTTACTCTGTTAGGACACTGAGCGACCCAAAGGCAAATGGGAACTCCAGGAAACAAACAAATTGATTACAAAAGGAAACCTAGGAAGTAGGCGCGGTCCACGTGGGAAGCTGCGCGTGGGATGGTGCGCGTGGGAAGCTGAGCGTGGGTAGCTGCGCGGGGGATGGTGCGCGACGGGCAGTGTACTGAGTGGCTGCGCGTGGGAAGCTGCGCGTGGGAGGCTGCACGTGGGAGGCTGCGCGTGGGAGGCTGCGCGTGGAGCTGCGCGTGTGGACGGCGCCCGAGCGGCGCGGGGCGGCCTGGACCTCACGCTCCGCTCCAGGTGTCTCCGTCGCCTTGACGACCGGGCGGCCCGCAACGGCGGGACGAGTCGTTGAGGCTGCGAGCCCCTGCGGACTCGCCCGACTGGGCTGGGCCCGCGCCGAGAGACCCAGCGGCAGCCGAACAGGGACTATGAGAAGATGGGCGGGCAGAGGAGGAATAAGCCCAAGGAAGCGGCCTCCGAGCCGCCGCACCCTCCCCGCGCCCTGCAGGCCAGGCGGCGGCGCCGGGCCCCCGGGGCCGGGGAGCTGGCGGTGGAGGAGTCCCCGCGGGAGGCGGAGAAGCCGGGGCTGCCCAAGCCCGTAGGCGGCGGGAACCTTCCCGGGGGCGCCCGGCCCTACTCCCCGCGGAGGCCCCGAAAAGTGAAAGCGCAGAGCAGCATGCAGTTGGAAGTGGTCACCAAGACCCTGTTCCTCCAGCGCTTCCAGTTCCTCAGCTCTGTCCTGGAGCAGCTCCGCGACAAGGTGCACCTGCTGCGGAGGCGGCAGCTGTCGGTCCGGGCGACCATCGGCATGGGTGAGCCCGGCAGGCAGGGGGCGCTTGGGTCTGCGGTGGGCCGGCTCTCGGAGGATCCGTTTAACAGGCAAGCCAGCAGCAATAACGACGAGGTGCAGCTCCGGAAAGTCCAGACAAGATCCCCAGCCCCCTTTGTTCTCGTTTTAAAACATTTTCCAGGATGTTCGGGCATGCGATCACCTGGACGTCACCAACAAAATATCACCTTAATCAGGACATCCCTTAATCACAGGTTGTAAAAATGAGAGGTTAGCTCTCCAGGGGCTGGCATTGCTAAGGGTGGAATTAAAGGCGCACGTTTGAGAAGCTGAGTGTGGACAAGAGGAAGGAGAGGTTCTCTTCTGAGCTGGAAGGGAGTAGAAAGCAAGGATTACTGTCTAGGGAAACACTGACGAGTCTGTAAGAGGAGTTTGGGATGATTGTGCCAAATGATCTTTGTTTCAGTAAGTATACAGCTGGGTCACTTTCAGAGGTGAGGTTGGTAGACAGGGTCCAGGGCTCCAGGAGATATGCTCTTTATCACACCTTATGCATTTAGGATATGGACATGATCACATCTTATCATTCTATCAGGTGTGAATGTGGGGAAGGGGTGGGAGTGAGCGACAGAAGAATATTGTGAGGACTTTTGGAAAGCTAGGTGGATTTAGTAGGATATTTTGTTTTAACCTTTTCCTTAAATACAACTTTAAGAGTTTTCACCAGAATATCCAGTTGTCCGGAGAAGAAGAAAGAGGAGACATATGTGGTTGAATAGGACAGTCTCTGTGTATTTTATTTTATTTTTTTATCCTCACCCAAGGACATTTTTTGCATTTATCTTCAGATAGAGCGGGAGGGAGAGAGAGAGAGAGAGAAACATCCACGTGAGAGACTCATCGAGTGGTTGCTGTCCACACAACCCCAACCGGGGCCCGGGATAGACTGCAACCAAGGTACGTGACCTCAGTGGGAACCGAACCCGGGGCTCTCTGGTCTGCGGGCCAATGCTCTAACCATTGAGCAAAACCGGGCAGGGCGGTCTGTGTATTTTAAAGCTAATGAAGCCTTATCTGAGGTCCATCAGTTTCAGTTTGAGAGAGAAGGTACAGGTTTAATTTCAAAGTGGTTCAGTGTATATCATATATTAGTAGAAAAGTTAACGAAAGTAGTAAATATATACTTTTTCTGGAAAGAGCCAGGTAGTAAATATTTTAAACTCCACAGGCCACATACAGTCTCCATTGCCTATTCTTCTTCCTTATTTTTACAGCCTTTAACAACGTAACAACCATTTTTAGCTAGTGGACAGGAACAGATAGTGGGCTGTAGTTTCCTGATCATGGTGTAAAACGAGTAAATCTTCTGAGACATTGTAGGGTGAAGGTCAGGATGGTTAGGAACATGCAAACCTGGAGAAGCATTGGTAGGAGTCTTCAGCATTGCAGTGTTTTATCGTTGTTGTTGACTTTTTGATTAATTTGCACTTATTTTGTTAGCCAATTTGAGTAATTTTTTGAAATTTTAAGAGGTTAATGTTGGAGGTGTGTAAAATGTCTTGCCAAGTATATTTTGGGACAGCTATAACAAATACTATTATACGATCTTGGAGGGGAGGCAGGACATCAGGAATAGCTAAGTAAACTCACTCCTCTGTGATATTAACAAAAATGTTAGAATATTTTCAGATCTTTGGAGATTAACCAAAGGTTTTACAACAACCTGGAGCTTATTTATTTAAAAAAACTGCTGAAATGCCATCCCTTCTCCCCAGCCCCATGATATCCTTGGAAATAAACAGAGTCCCAGCCACCAGAAGGAACAGAGTGTTTGGAGCTCCTCAGAAAGTCCGTCTGCACAGCACAGCGGTGGCAACTTGACCTGCCTGGGAGCTCCCTGATCGCCCTCATTCCTAGGACATTGACATGGGGAGCCAGGGGCCTGGGAGCTCTGGAGGCTCAGTGAGGTTTGAATCGCCCCGAGGCCTAGCAGGTGGGCTGCTGAGGAAGCCGGCCCTGCCTTCCCCGTCTTCTGATGAGCAGGGGGAAAGTGGGCTAGAGCCACTGTGGGCTTGAGTCACTTCTGAAAGGACTGAGCTAATAATTATTGTGTGCGTATGTGATTCTTTAAAAATAATGTAAAGCAACAGAGAATAGTGGTTAATTGTTGACCCGTGCACCAAGAGGTTGCTGGTTCGATTCCCGGTCAGGGCACATGCCCAGGTTGTGGGCCAGACCCCCAGTAGGGGACCATGCAGGAGGCAGCCAAACGATGTTCTGTCTCATTGATGTTTCTGTCTCTCTCTCCCTCTCCCTTCCTCTCTCTCTCTCTGAAAATAAAGAAAAACAAATTTAAAAGAGAGAGAGAGAATGATACTGAAAAATCACAAAAAGGTCCAAATCATTCGTGATTTCATCACTCTTTTGCAAATTACATGAATGAGACATAGCCTTCCAGCTCTTTCCCTTTGCTCCTCATACCCCCCCCCCCCCCCCCCCGCCCCGTCAGAGGTAAGCACACTCGCAATTTGTTTTATGAGTTTCTGGGATTTTTCCTATGTTATGTAGACAGAGGTAGCTACCACCTTGTACCACCTTGCTTGTGTGCATTCTCTAGACATAGGGAACGCATTTGAAATAGCTGTTCTAAGGATATATTACAATTATCGTAATAAAGCAGCTTTTAATGACTTTTTCTTTTTCTTTTTTCAGCTGCCTTTGTGGGAGTTTTGCACTGGTAAGATTAGTTTCAGTTTGCAATAAATAATTCAGTTTGAATTAAAAGTTGCCATCACTGTTTGCATACAGCAAAAAACAACAAAAAACACTTTATCTCTATTTTTTTAGTGTACTCTGCATATTTATTTCATCCAAAAAAAAACCTCCTTTATTTCACAGTAATGACATGTCAGTTGACGTAAGCTTAGAGAGAAGGTTTTAGTCACACCTGTCAACTGGAAATCAGGTAGAAATGAAGATGGAGGCTGCACTGATAATACGAATTAAAGGAGACTTCAGTGAGCGTGTTTTACACAAGTGACCTCTTTGTAAAAATTAGATGTAAAATTACAATATTTTTCATTTCTACCTGAGCTCGGGGATTTGTCTTCTCGGGAAGAATGGGATCTGCCCCATGTCCTGTTGGGACAGTGCTGTTCTGGCCAGGTGGTCTGATGTTAGAACTAAGGCTGTAATGGTAAGATGTGTTTTCTGCAGCTACCGAGACCCTGGCAAATGTCCCGCGTATAAATGAAGGTGAGCGGGAGACAGGGTTGAAGGTGGAATGTTGCTTTTCCCCTGCTTCATTGGACAGCATCTGCTGCGTAAATGACGGAGAGCACAGTTGCTCCCTGTAACTCGACTTGCTCCCCATATATGCCCCCATCTTCATTGCCTACAGCTCTTACCTTCAGTTACATCAGTGGTTCTCAACCTTCCTCATGCCGCGACCCTTTAATACAGTTCCTCAGGTCGTGGTGACCCCCAACCATAAAATGATTTTCGTTGCTACTTCATAACTGTAATTTTGCTACTGTTCTGTCTTAGGCGACCCCTGTGAAAGGGTCTTTGGGGGTCGAACGACCCACAGGTTGAGGACCGCTGGGTTATACTAATACAACATCTTGACGTCCAGTCCTGTGTTCTCGGACCCTGGTTTCTTGTGCGGAATTATCCTGATTTGGAATTGATTTAATATAAAGTAGCTTTATTTAAAATTTTATTCCGAATGCTTTTCATCAGTTACAGAGGCATTTCCCAAACTTGGTACCTAACAAGCACTTGTGAAGTTAGGGAACTGGAACTTAACTGTGTTCTGATTGGGAGGCCTGGAGCTTCCGAGCTCCGGCTGCTTGCGCAAGTTATCCGCTCATCTGTTGATGGACACGTGCTGTGGCACATGTACACAGTGGAACACTATGCAGCTGTAGGAAAGAGAGATCTCTTATCCTTTGAGATGACATGGAGGGACCTGGAGAGGATTATACTAAGAGAAATAAGCCAAGCAGAGAAAGACAAGTATTGTGTGATCTCACTTATTTGTGGAATATAATGAACAAAACAAGGTGATGAACAAAATAGACCCAGAGACATAGAAGGAAGTAGGATGCAGACTGACAAACTTCAGAGAAGGGGGCAGGGGAGATAAACCAAAGAACTTATGCATGTAGGCATAACCAATGGACACAGACAACAATGCTGGGGGAGGGGGCAGGAATGGGAGGAAGGTGTCAATAGGGGAAACAGGAGAAACATCTGCAACCGAAATAAATTAATTAAAGATAAAAATACAAATTCAGTTTTAAAATGAAAAAAAAAAAATAAAGATACACAAGTTAGTAAGCAAACTATAAAGTTATCTGAATACTTACTATAAAAATGTATTCTTTTTCCTCTTTGCAGTTTTGTTACTTTGTTTATAACATATTTTAGGACTTGTTTGAAATGTTCTTATTATAATATGGTGCTTTATTTTTTTTCCCCCCTAGGATACATTTAATAACACTTTTTGAAAATGATCGTCATTTTTCTCACCTCTCATCTTTGGAACGGGAGATGACTTTTCGCACTGAAATGGTTTGGTTCTTTTCTTTGATGCATTAATTTGTAGTTTAATAACATTAAGACTGTAAGGTGGACATTTATGAGGCACTGAAATAAATTTTTGGTGAACTACACTGTTTCTCAAGCTATGATTTAGGTTTATTACTCAAGTAGAAAGTGTTTTAGAATTCTTTTTCTTATCTTATTTTCTCTTCCTCCTTTCTTAATACAGACTTCTCTTTAAGATAAGAAAGATCAATTATAATAGCTGAGGAAGTGGTGAACAAAGAAAATATTTAAGAAGTGATACAGGGTATCAAAGGTTATCAGAGATTGCCTGCTCTTGGGTTAGAGTTGAGAGACCCCATGTTTTACCTGGCCTCCCCTCCCCTCCCCTCCCCTCCCCTCCCCTCCCCTCCCCTCCCCTCCCCTCCCCTCCCCTCCCCTCCTTCCTTCCTTCCTTTTTTGTAGCTCTTGACTTCAATCTCTTTTAAGAGGCAACTTTATAATCTCTAATGATCTTTCCGTTATTTGTATACTTAATCTGTAAAATGCAGATAATTCCGACTGCCATGCACAGGTCACGTGATTATGGTGAGGCTCAAATGGGATAATAAAAGCCAGAACTGCAGAATTTTACAATTAAGAGAGTCCAGGACCATCCTCCAGATTAGGTAGTTAGGGGTTGACTGAGAGCTCAAACTGGACCCCTGATTCTTTTTTTTTTAAATCCTCATCCGAGGACATTTTTCCATTTTTTGTACAGACAGAGTGGGAGGGAGAGAGAGGAAGAGAGAGAGGGAAACATCGATGTGAAAGGGACACATCGAGTAGCTGCCACCCGCACAACCAACCAGGGCCGGGGACAAACTGCAACCGAGGTACATGCCCTTAGCGGGAACTGAACCCGGGTCTCTCCGGACCGCAGGCCGACGCTCTAACCACTGAGCCAAACCAGCCAGGGCTGGACCCCCGATTCTATAGCCACTGCTTTTTTGTTTTGTTTTTAATTGTGGCTCAATTAAAATGAAAATGTAAATTTATATTTAAAAATTTTAAACAGCAAAATTTACATTTCATCTATTTTTATGTGTTGTATAGTTCTGTGGCATTACATACATTCATATCATGCAACCATCACCACCTTCCATCACCAGAACTTTTCTTTTATCCCAAAGAGAAACTGTACCCATTACATCCTAACCCCTCCCCCAGCCCTGGTCACCTCCATTCCGCTTTCTGTCTCCAGGGATTTGCCTGTTCTAGGTCCCTCGGCCCATGCTGTTTACATCTCAGCCTTACAGCCCCAAATGCTTAGAGGAGTTGGCCACACTAGCACCTGAGTGGCATTCAGATTTTTAATATTTTGTAGGTATTACTTTCAAAGAAAGGCTAAAATGTTATTAAACGAAGAGCGTAGCGGTGGCAGAGTGGGCTTGGACGACAGGCCGCTGGGTTCAGGCAGCAGCCCCGTGCTTCCCCGAGTGGCGGCCAGCCGGTCAGCCTGTGCGTGTCGGCGGTCTCACCTGTGGACTGGAGCGAGGCAGGTGTCACTGAAAACGCAGGAGGGAGACAGTGAACACAAACAATGGCTGCTACTCGTAAAAGCGGATTTACAGATCTTCTCTCTGTGCATATTGCCTTGTGCACGTTAGAGATCCTGCCGTGGTTTTGCCTGCTGCCCTCGTTAGCAGAAAGAAAAATCCTTACGTGAATTCATGTTTCACCATGAGGACACGCTCTTTCAGACATCGGCTAGACACAGCTTCGGTCTAGTAGCCGCTGCTGTTGCTTCATCTCTCAAAGATCAAGCGGTTGTATGAGGCCGAACGCGTGTGGAGTTGAAGATTATTTTTAATGTTTTTGGGGGACAGTGTATTGCAAACAGTGTGGCTCTTTATTTGCTTTTAGATTTTTAGAAGGAAAGCAGGAAATTGATGAGGGAAGTAGCATGAAACAACATGCTGTTGTTCGTCCTTGACTTCTTACTGGCCCAATACAGTCGTTAGCTCCCGGGCTGGAGTCCTGCACTAGGCTGACCCCTTCTCAGGACACAGCATTTGGGTCGGGGGCCAGTCAGTGGGCGTCTGGTGGGCACTCACCTTGTGCTGAGCTGCTAGCCTGAGCGCGGAAGTAAGTTAAAGGCATGAAGTTCTGCCTCATGGTGTTTGTGATCACTCTGTTATTCCACAAAGAGCTGGAAGAAAGAAGTGATTTTCTATGTGCAGAGTTGTGAAGGACCGAAGGCATGCTAATGCCAGGATTCATCAGCTCTCAGCCTCTAGGCATCTCGAGTGAGGGTAAGACTAGGCATGGTAGACCTAAAATATATATTGTATATTTATTGTAAGGGGTGATTAGAAAAGCGCCTTAAAAACATTTAGCCATCCCTCCAGGGATTTTTCTAACCTACAGAATTTACAAAAGAATAGTACAGTGAGAGCCTGAAATGTAAGCCTTTTGAGTACAAGAACGTAGCAGCAGCAGCAAGGAGAAATGAGAAAGTCTTATCACTCACCCTTTCCTACAGAAAAACAAAATGTCCTGAAAGGAGTTATAAAAATAATAAATATTTTCAAGTTTTACTTACACTGACAATTTGTGCCTTTTTAAGGGACTTTATTATTCCTACTTCAAGACCATCATTGAAGCCCCTTCGTTCTTGCAAGGACTGTGGATGGTTATGAACGACAGGCTCACTGAGTACCCCCTGGTCATCAACACTGTGAAACGCTTCCATCTTTATCCAGAGGTGAGTACGATTTAGGGCGCATACGTGCAGAGCGATGCTTTTTTATTAGATAAAAATAGTAAGTAAACACAGTGCTGTTACATAAAGGCGATTTAAGGTGTATTGAGTGTACGTGCCCTTAGACGGGGAGCAGAGTATCAGAAGTTCCTCTCCTGAGTTCGTTTTCATTTGCACCTCCCTTATCATTTGTGGGGCTAAGAATATCTTCATGGTTCATAGCCATCTGGATGTATTCTTCTGTCAGTAACCTGTATACATGTTTGTCACCTATTTGATGGTTTTCTTATTCATTTGTTGGCATAATTGATATATTGTAGAGAGTACTCCTTAGTAATACATGCTGACCTGTCTTTCCTCACTCTGGCTGCTTTTGCATCAGCTCTGTTGAGGGATAGCTTATATGTGGTAAAACACACCATTTTGAGCGTACAGTTCTTTGAGTTATGCATTTGACAAATGTGTAAAACTGTATATCCAAACCACAATTGAGTTATAAAACATTGTGCTTCTTTATAGTAACTGTCCTGTCCCCATTGAATTGTCTTGGCACATATTTTGAAAATTGATTGACTGTATTATGCACGGATCTGTTTCTGGATTTTCTATATTCTGTTGTTCTGTATGTCTATATTTATGCCAGTACCACACTGCTTTGATGACTCTAGCTTTATAGTAAATCTTAAAATAAGGTAGTTCTCCAACTGTGTTTTTCCTTTTCAAAGTTAGTTTCTATGTTCGAGTCAGTTTTTCAGTTTCTCCAAAGATCTTATTGAGATTTTTATTGGGATTGCATTGGATTTATACATATATTTAGGAAGAATTGACATCTTAATATTAAACTCTCCAATCCATGATAATGATATAGATCCCTATTTTGTTAATCATTTTTGTCTCAGCAATATTTTGCATTTTTCAGCATACAGTCTTCTAGATGCACCATTTTTACTATTGTAAATAGTATTATTTAAAAATTTTACCCTTCTTTGTTGCTTTTGTATAGAAGCTAAAGTTGATTTTGAAGATTGACCTAACACCTGCATCTTGATGAAGTGACTTAATTATTCTAGTAGATTTTTTGTAGATTTTCTATGAACATGATGAAGTTGTCAGTGAACAAAGGTAGTTGTACTTCTTACTTTCCAATATGTATACCTTAAATTTTTTAAAACAGCTTTATTGAGGTAGAATTGACATGCTGGTCATATATAAAATGTACAATGTGATAACTTTTGACATATGTATCCACCCATGAAAACCTTCGCCACAATCAAGACAAAATTCACAACCATCTCCTCAAGAATTTCCTCATGTTCCATAGTGATGCCTCCATCCTGCCCCTCTCCACTTCACCCCACCCCCAGGAAACCACCAACATGCTTTCTGTCACTATCATCGTTTGCATTTTCTAGAATTTTATATGCATAGTTATAAAATACTCCTTTTTTTTGGTATGGCTTCTTCAGAATAATTACTTTGAGATTAATTCATATTGTTGCAATGTATCATTAGTTTGTTTTCATTGCTTAATATCATTCCATTGTATGGATTTACCACATTTTGTTTATCTATTTACCTTTTGATGGGCATTTAGGTTTATCCAGTTTTGGGCTCTAACAAATAAAGCTGGAGTGAACATTTCTGTATAAAGCATATTTCCAAAGTGGTTGTTCTATTTATAGTACTGCATGAGAGTTTGTTTGCTCTAAATACTCAATTACACTTAGGTCAGTCAGTCAGTCTTTCTAATTTAGAAACTTTAATAGGTGGTATTTCATCATGGTTTCAATTTTATTTCCCTAATGGTTAATGATGTTGCAATTATTTTTTTTGAACAAAGCTGTTATATGTTAGATCAATTAAGAATAATAAAAAAATGTTTATATCTTGTTCTTTCTTTGATGCTCTTTTTTATGTAGATCCAAGTGTCTGATTTGTATCTTTTTCTGTTTCTCTAAAGAACTTCTTTACAAAGTCCCCTAACTTTAGTTTGTGTGAGAAAGTCTTTATTTCTCCTTCACTTTTAAAGGATAACTTCACACAATACGGGATTCTAACTTACTTTTTTTCTCTTCACAATTTAAGTATTTTACTCCACTTTCTTTTTGCTTGAATGATTTACAAGGAGAAGTCATATGTAATTCTTATCTTTACTTGTTTATAATTGAGGTTCCCCTCGCCCCACCCCAACATCTTTCAGAATTTTTTCTTTATCTTTGATTTTCTGTAGTTTGAATATGATATGCTTAGTTTTTTGGCATTATCATGCTTGATGTTCTCTGAGCTACCTGGGTCTGTGGTTGGGTGTCTGATATTAATTTCAGAAAATTCTGAATTGTCATTGTTTCAAACATTTCTTTTGTTCCTTTCAGTATTCCCATTACATGTATGTTACACCTTTTGTTGTTGTTCCAAAGTTCTGGATACCCTGTTCTCTAGCAGTTCTTTTTGGTTCTTTGTTAGAATTTTTCTCTCTGCTTATATTGCCCATCTGTTCTTGGATTCCATTTACTTTATCCATTAGAGCCTTTAGCATATTAATCATAATTGTTCTAAATTTACAACCTGATAATTCCAATATTCCTGCCATATCTAAGTCCAGTTCTGATGCTTGCTCTGTTTTTCAAACTGTGCTTTTGACTTTTAGTATGCCTTGTAATTTTTTCTGAATAGCTGGACATGATGTAATGGGTAAAAAAACCTGCTCTAAATAAGCCTTTAGTTGTGTGGTGGTAGGCGTGGGGGTAGGGGAACCCTTCTGTAACCCCACGACTGGGTCTCGGCCTTGTATGAACCTGTGCCTCTGGATGGTGAACTCACACCTGTTTCTCAGTTTTTCCTTCTCAGGTGCCACAGAATGGCTAGTGTGGGCTGGAGGTTGTATCTCCTTTCTCCTACACGGAGGGCCAGAGGGAACTTGAGTTGGATGTTTCCCTGCCTTGCTGTAGGTTAGGCTCTGATAAAACTCTAGCAGGTTAGGCTCTAATGGAGTAGTTTCTTCTGAGGATAGGCCTCGTGAAGAAGAATGTTCTGGTGTATTTCAAATCGGTCCCTTTTTCACCCCCTCTGTGTGAAGCAGAGGAAATTTTTTTTCTGATACCCAGTGTAAGTATCTAAAGAGCTCTTAGAGGTAAACTCATAAATTGGGGCCTGGGTGGGTGGCTCAGTTGGTTGGAGCATCATCCCATGCATCAAAAAGGTGGTGGGTTTAATTACAGTCAGGACACATACCTAGGTTGTGGCTTCCATCCCTGGTTGGGGCGTGTGCAGGAGACAACCAAATCAATGTCTGTCTGTCTGTCTGTCTGTCTCTCTCTCTCTCTCTCTCTCTCTCTCTCACACACACACACACACACACACACACACACACATCAATGAACATATCCTCAGCTAAGGTTTTTTTTTTCTTCTTCTTTTCTTAAACTTAAACATGTGGGCTGCTGGGTCTCCCTAGTTTTTGACTCTCTTGTTTATGCTGTGCCTCTAGCAATTCAGTTGCAGTGGAGGTTTTCCTATTCTGCTGTGGAGTCCTGCTCCGGGAAGCTCTGATTCTCTGTATTTGCCCGTCAGTCTCTCCAATTGGGAGAGCAGCGGTTTGCCCTCTGACCTCACTTCTCTTACGGATTTAAGAAAAGTTGATTTTTTCAGTTTGTTCAGCCTTTTACTTGTTAGGATGAAACAACTTAAAAGCCTCTTACATGCTGGACTCAGAAACCTTGTATTTCATTTTTATTCAGTTCAATGTAAATTTTTATTTCCCTTGAGCTTTTCTACTTGATCCATGAACTTTTTGTTGTTGTTGTTAATCCTCACCTGAGGATATTTTCCCACTGATTTTTAGATAGAGTGGAAGGGAGGGAGGGGTGAGAGAGAGAAACATCGATGTGAGAGAGACACATTGCTTGCCCCCCACATGACCCCCACCAGGGCGGAGGAGTGAACCTGCAACCCAGGTACATGCCCTTGACCAGAATTGAACCCATAACTCTTTGGTCCATGGGCTGACGCTCTAACCCCTGAGCAAAACCGGCCAGGGCTTAATATATAATTGTAGACTTGATTTTACAGCTACTATGATTTATATTACAGTTGATTATAAGAGTTTATTACAGAGATGCTGATCACAAGAATTTTTATAGATGTTCATTATTCTGTAATACACAACCTTAATTTATAATATGTGTGTGTATAATTTTAAAATGACTATTTCTCTAGTGAAATGATTTAAATAACTTTGGCAAAGTTTATAATATTAAAGGCAACCATCATGAAGTGGTATTTTGGAAAAATTATTATGAAGGTAATATATTCTCCTTCACTGTCTCATTTTGTTTTTCTTTTTCGTAGGTGATTCTAGCCTTCTGGTATCGCACATTAGTGGGGATAATGAATTTCCTTGGGATAGAAACCAAGACCTGCTGGAATGTCACCAGGGTAGAGCCGCTCAATGAAGTTCAAAGCTGTGAAGGCAGGTTGTTGTTCTTCCTAAGATGCAGCTGTGCTGTCACTAATGTTTACGTGAACATCTTACACTGTGGACTTGTTCAAGAATTACTGAAAACTAGCGATTGGTTTTTTAAAAACACTATAACTGATTCACCTAAGAGTGTAGTTAACCTTTGAAGTAATTTTCTGAGAAGGCTATGTAGTTACTAATATGAGTATTAACTTAGAATTGGAGTATTAATATACCCCTGTGTAAGGCAATCCTGACTATAAGTCATTCCTTCCATTTCAGAATAAGAAGCTGCAGAAACATTGTAGGGTAGCCTGAATATATAAATGTAGATTAAACAGTCAGATGTCCACCTGTAATAGTTAATGAAAGAATTTAGTTATAGAAACATATTAAATTAGATATATGATCATAGATGGATCTAGAAGTACGTCCCACTCTTCATATACACCTTCTCCACTGGTGTCCCAGTCAAGGAACCACCTTTGCATCAGCTGACAGTTTTCTAGGACTGTCATTGTTTCCGCTATTTCCGATGTGTGCGGTTGAGCCCTTCCCAGCCCAAGTGTGATGCCCGCCTGGAAGCTGTTACCCCAGGTCACATGTATCTACTTGCATAGCATTTACACAGTTGTCTTTGTTTCTTTCTTTTTTTTTTATCCTCACCCGAGGATATTTTTCCATTTTTTGTTCAGATAGAGTGGGAGGGAGAGAGAGAGAGAGAAACATCGACGTGAAAGGGACACATCGAGTGGCTGCCACCCGCACGACCAACCAGGGCCGGGGACAAGCTGCATCCGAGGTACGTGCCCTTAGCGGGAACTGAACCCGGGTCTCTCTGTACCGCAGGCCGATGCTCCAACCGCTGAGCCAAACCGGCCAGGGCTGTCTTTGTTTCTTCATATTCTCCACCACATGGATGCTGAGTATATTTTATAGATATGTTTTTATAGGCTTGTTCTCAATAACGTTCAACTCTCAGAACATATCCTAAATCTGTATTTCCCTGTTTCCCTTACATTTTTACTGAGCCCTCGGGTGATCTGTATTGCACCTAAAATAGCATTGATAGAGTATATCTGAGACACGATTAGGCTTTTCTTATACAAAATAAAGGAATGGAGAAAATGCCTCATAAAATGAGAGACTCTGTAATGGCTCAGTCAGCTTAGAAAGTGTAGCCTTGCCCTGGCCGCTTTGGCTCAGCGGCTGGAGCCGCGGCCTGCGGACCCGAGTCCTGGGTTCGTTTCCTGCTAGGAGCACGTACCAAAAAAAAAAAAAAGTGTAGCCTTTTCTGCGAGATGGAAACATCGCCTTGTATATGGACATTGATGACACTTATTAAGTTGCTGCTCAGTGATCAGCTCGTGTCAGCCCTTCGGCCCCCCAGATGCACCAGTAAGCACGGCTCCTTGGCCCCTGGAGTTCACATGTAAGAAGGGTGTTAGCGGTTGTAACTGGGGTGGATCTAACCCAGTTTACTCAAAAATGAGTTTGCTCAAGCTGGGAGTCAGGGAAGGTGTTTCACGAGCAGGGACCCGCATGGTAAAAGTCCCCGAGGGAACAGAACTGAAAGAAGGGGACTTCCCGGGCCGAGCTCCAGAGGAAAACGTGGTGCCGGTGCAGGCCTGGCAGCAAGGGTCCAGGGAGAGGGCCGTCACCGGCCAGGGTCCTGCCCTGTATCCACGGGAGAGTGTCAGCGATTTGCATTGTGGAAGCATTGGTTTGGCAGCTCCGCGGGAAGCACTGCTGAGGAGGAACGTGGGCTGGTGGGGCGGGCAGGGGACTGGGTGCCCTCAGCCCGGGGGCAGGACAGCCCCGGGAAGCCCAATGGGTAGGGCCTGGAACCGCCGGGGGAGGGGAAGGAGAGAGAAGCCATCTAACTGTTGGGTTTCCAGCCTAAGTAACTGAGCCCCTTCGAATGGAAAACCATGCCTCAGGTGGCAGTTTGCATTGCGGCCTTAGGTTCGGCCCGAGCCCGCACAGGGCCCAGGGCAGTGACCACCTGCGCGCATGCGCGGCACTCGAAGGGCGCGGTGCTGAAGGAGGACTGGGCGCGGCTGGGTGTAGACCGCAGGGCAGGCGACGGGGTGCGGTGGGCAGCATCGAGGGGGTGCAAAGGAAGGGGTTCCTAGGACAGGCTGGAGAGGACCGGTCCGAGAACGAGAGGGATCTGCAAGGCTGCCTTCAGGTCTCGGCACCATCAAAAACTCTCATAACCAAATAACTTTTAGCATGTCATTTCAGTTTTCCATGTTGTTGGCTTAGCGATTAAAAAATTAATTTCATACCAACTAATCTCATAGATCTGTTCCAAGGATTATGACATGAAGATTATAAAGCACCTAGTAGACTGTGTGTGCTAATATGTTTTATACATGTCTGTATAGTTTTATACATGGGATTTATTATGTATTAAGGTTTTTAAGGTTCTGGCTATACATAATAATGGATCAAATAACTAGATTATATCATATAGGCTAAAGCTGTTCCTTGAGGTCAGGGCCCATATCTTACTCATCCTAGAACCAAGAGAAAGATAATCACTCAATGGATTTTCTCTTATAATTCACCAAGTGAATCTACAGACAGTTTTAGAGACTGAACAATAGCAGCATTTCCTACATAAAGTGAAGCAACAACTAATTATTACTGTATAATAATACTTAAAGCAGGGAAAGTATAAATGTAGCCACAATAATATATAAAATGTGAGTGTAACTGAATACAGCTCATGTGAGGGGGAAGTACTAATGTAACTATTAAATGAGCATCAGTCTGTAAAGTTAATGCTGTCAGTGAATTCATGAGCTTTTGGTTACAGAGCACTGCAATAATTATGTCCAATTACTTTATAGTCGTTTATTCATTAAATACTGAATAATTTTTTTTTTTTTTTAAAGGAGTAGGAGATCCTGCTTGCTTTTATGTTGGTGTGATTTTTATTTTAAATGGAATAATGATGGCATTGTTCTTCGTATATGGTGCGTATCTGAGGTAAGACGATTGTATTGGAAGATTTTTTAGTGGACTTCTAAGGACTGGCTGAAGTTTGTTGATTATATGAAAAGGATAATTAATAAAATTAATTGATTAGTAGTAGGAACATTTGTAGATTTATTTATTTTTCAGAAGCTTATCCAATATCATGTAACCTGAAACTAGAGTTGTCACTAAGATAATATCCTAACGGCCTTCCTTTTATCCTTGTGGGGAATTCTTTTAAAAATTCTGTAACAGATTTTTAATGAAAATACCTCTGAGTCCTATGTAACATTATTATAACTGAAGGGATCTTTGGTTGGTATTAGTAGCAGATAATTTCTTATTTTGGTCTCTGTGTGTGTGAAATTAAGAAAGCAGTAGAAGATATTGTTTAGACTGGTAGCGGACTCATATCCCACAGCCTGGTTTCTTGGTAACAGTCCTACAATTAGTTTGGGGTACTGTTGTGCTCAGTCTCAGGTGATAGGTTGAAGTTAACTATGACAGTCATGTACAGCTGACCCGTAGATTATGCAGGGGTTAGAGGTGCCACCCCCATCCCAAACACACAGTTAAAAATCTACATAAAACTTTTGACTCCCCCCAAAATTTACTATCAATAGCCTGCTGTTGTCCAAAAGCCTTATTTATGAGTAACATAAATAGTTGCTTAATACATACTTTGTGTGTTATATATTACATTGTCTTCATTCTTACAATAAACTAAGCTAGAGAAAAGAACGTAAGGAAGAGAAAATACATTTACTGTATTTGTTGGAAAAAAATCCATGTATAAGTGGACCTGCACAGTTCAAATCTGTATTGTTCAGGGGTCGACTGTTTTCTGCTGTTCACTATCCAGTGAACCTGGGGTTCCCAAATGAGCTAGCTTTTTTAGTGAAAAATGAGGTGACATCAACCTTGGCTACACCAGGAAAGCATTTGCCTTTCTCACAAAAGGATAGATTTCTCTGCCCCCTCTTTGTTTCTTCCTGCTTTTACTTGGATGTGATACCTGGAGCTGCTGCAGTCATCTTGCAGTCATGAGGGAAAGGCCGTAAACAGCACGTATGTCTGCCCTGACATCTTTGCAGTGCTGAACTCATGTCAGTAGACACTTATCTTTTATTTTCTAGTTGAATTATTTAATGAATATCCGTATGTTTAAGCCACTTTTGTTAGATTTTCTGTTTCTTACAGCAGGAGACATTCCTAACTAGATCATCAGCTTCCTTTATGATGAACTCAACATTTAAAGTTAAATGTCTAGATTTAATTTTTAAACAAGTATTTACTGTTTTCATAGGGTTTATGTCTATGTAGAGGTTAATATATATATTCCTTGTTTAGGATGTTTTCGGCATAAGAATACTAGCATAGCATCAATGAAAAATGTATTTAACATTGTACCAGGTATTGTATTCAGCATAGTAAGTCAAGAAAAATTAGTAATAAATATAAGAATTAGGAAACTCAAAGCAACAAATGCCCTTATAAGCAGATCACATGATTTTTCTGGAAAAAAAATCTGTGGGTAAAGTATTAAAATAATAAGAAAATTTATGTTACTGTTAGCAAAAATTAATACACATATATTATAAATCCATACTTTAGCATCAAACAAAAAATGAAATTTTTTCTTTTATCCTCACCCGAGGACATTTTTCCATTTTTTGTTCAGATAGAGTGGGAGGGAGAAAGAGAGAGAGAGAAACATTGATGTGAAAGGGACACATCAAGTGGCTGCCTCCCGCACGACCCAACCAGGGCTGGGGACAAACTGCAACAGAGGTACGTGCCCTTAGTGGGAACCGAACCCGGGTTTCTCTGGACCGCAGGCCAATGCTCTAACTGCTGAGCCAAAGCAGCCAGGGCAAAAAAATGAAAGTTTTAAAGGATGCCATTTAGAATAGCACTGAAAAAAATGAAGTTCTTAAGACTAAATCTAGCAAAAAATATATATGACCTCTTTTGGAAAATTATAAAACTTTATTGAGAGACATTTAGGGATATCTAAATATATGGAGAGACCATATTCATGGATTGGAAGACATAATATTAAAAGGACAAGATTTATTCCAATATATTTATAGATTCAGTGCACTACCAATTTTGTTAACCTTGATAAACTGATCTTAAAATTTTAAGAAATGCAAAGGACCTAAAATAGTCGAGACATTCTTGAAGAGAGTAGGAGGACTTGCTGTATTCATTGTTTACAAAGCTTTTACAAATTGTATTATAAAGCTATTGTAAATAGGACAGTATGATATTGGTATAGGGAAAGATCATTGGAATAAAGTAGAGCCAGAAGCAGAGATGTACAGTTACAGACCCTTGATGTATGACAGAGCAGACATTGCAGATCAGTGGGTATGGACAGGTTTCTTAGTAAGAGGTATTGGGATAGTAAGGAGATCATATGGAGAAAAAAGAATTTGGAGCTCTATGGAATATATATCCTAGTTGGATTAAAATCTTAAATATGAAAGACAAAATTACAAAATATTCAGAATGTTATGTAGGTCAATATCATCAGTGACTTGGGATAAGAAAGAATTTCTTATATGAGGCATAAAAGCCCAGGCATGAAGCAAAAAAAACTGATAACTTTTATGAAAATAATTTAAGTTCCTTAAGACATGTTAGAATAAAAAGATAAGCCACCAACTGGGAAAAGATACTGCAAAGCGTATCCAGACATTACATTCATTAATTTGACAGGTTTTTATTGAATGCCTGCTGTGTGGCCAAGACCAGGAATGAAAAACAACAATCTCTGTCCTTACGGAGTTTATATTCTAGATGGTAGACAAAGGCAAAGACAACAGACAGTCCAATAGAAAAATGAACAAAATATTTATGAACAGACATTTCCCGGAAGAAGTAATTCCAAATTGCCAATAAACATATATAAAGTTGACCGCCATCATTAGTTATGAGGAAAATACAGATTTAAACCACAGTGAAACACCATTTCACATCCACTGGGTTGCAAAAGGAACTTTTACCCATGGCATGTGGACATCTTAGAATAACTACTTTGGAAACACAGCATACATTATTCTAGTAAAGTTGAAGATGTAGATACATTATAACTTAGCTCTTCCTACTTAAAGTATATATGTCTAAGAAACCTTTGCACATGTACACCAGGAAATAGTACATACAAGAATATGGCAGCATTGTTTGTAATCGCTCCAAATTGGAAACAACTCACGTGTCCATCAACAGAGAAATGTACACATCATAGTCAATTAATGTAGTGGAATAACTACAACAGTGAGACTGAGTGAGAGGTGCAGCTACACACATCTGTGTGGACACATCTTATAATGTTGAGTGAATGAAGGCAGGCACGACATGAACAATTCTGCGTACTTCCATTTGTACGAAGTTTAAAAACAAAGTAAGTGATAGTAAGACATATACATATAGAAGTGGCTATATTGATCATCGTAATATACTGGCTGTTTCAAGGGGTGGTGAGTGGGGGCTCAGGTGTGACCGGTTTTCTATCTCAATGACATGGTGGTAACAAGGATGTCACTTTATGATTATGCTGTACCCTGTCTAGAAATTTTATGTACTTTTCTCTGTGTATACCATATAGGAAAAATAGATTTAAGCTCATCACAGTTTTTTGAGGGAAAAGGATTACTGTAAGATTATGGTGTCAGACTTAAAAATGTTCTATTTTAGAAAGTAGTTTGTATATCTTATGCTTTTTTAGACATGGAAAATGTTACATGAGACTAAGACTTTTTAAAGTTAATACTTTTCATTGCCGAGCAACCCAAGGACCATCGTCTTGTCTAAACTGGTTACGTAGTCCTGGATTATCAAATGAAGCTTCAGCCTGTAGGAAGAATATATAGATTTAACAAATGTTGGCTATAAAATTTCACTAAAACTGTCAAAATATTGAATGGTGTGTAGAAACAAAGGAAATAGGAGTTTGTGGGGATAGTTTGCATTTCTTTCTCTGGCCACCCTCCCCCACTGGGACCAACTCGGAAAGCAGACACGCCACCTCTGTTCCTTGGTGGCTAACGAGGAAACGTTAACATGCTTGTCAAACTTCATCAGGTCTAAAATGAATTAATACCTTTCCTGTTCTTCCGATCGGTACCAGGAATTTTAGAACACTTTACTTCAAAACGGCCCCTGCATCTTATATTATTACCATAGTTTAATACTCTCATGGCCCCTCCAAAGGATTTATTGTTTTTGTGTGTGTTTTATTTCACCGTTTACGTTGTCAAATCTTAGTTAGTTTTATCCACACGCTCTTGGTTTCTGTATGCAGTGTTGTTCTCAGACATTCCCGCTCTCAATGTCTCTCCAAAGAGCAGCCTTTGGATTTCCTTTGGCGAACACTTGTTAATGGTCAGTCACTTCCCATTTGCTGGTCTCTGTTGTTTGTTTGTTTGAAACTATTCCCTCCTTTTTCAGTCATACACCCAATATTGTCTTCCAAGTGTGGAGCTATGGATATAAGTGATGAACAACATACAAAGAAAAGGCAACTTGAAGAAGTAGTTCTTAACCTTTGACGGCTATCCTTGATCTGATGTTTGGATTCTACATGGTTGTTTCTTTGGGACTCAAGAATATTTGCAGTAGTTTAGACAGTTTAAAGTTCCTTCTAAATGGAACTGTTAGATTCTTGTTTTCATCCCTTAGTCAAAAGATAAAAATCTGCCTCCATTATGAATATTTAAAGAATGCAGTATAGACTCTGAAGTATGGCCTGTTTGTTAAATATTATCTTATGTTCACATCTTACATGTTTTATTTAGAAAATCAATATATTATAAAAGTCAGATTATTTTATATGTATATTCTATATGCTTGTATATTCAAGATTAAAACATCATCAATGGGTACTTTTGACATTTTTACTATTATATGGTTTAGTACTGTGACATTTTAAATATGATTTGGGGGTGGGGGCTAGGTGGAGGGGGGCAAAGGGGGAAAATGAGGAACATCTGTAATACTATCAACAATAAAAATAAATTTAAAAAAATTTTAATCTGATTTTAAATTCTAAGGCAATTTTGTGAAAAACACTATTTTGCATGAATTATGATTGTATACTTTTTTTTACAGTGGGACTCAACTTGGAGGTCTAATTACAGTATTATGCTACTTTTTCAACCACGGAGAGGTTTGTTTTCTAGAAAATAAATTTTAAGAAATAGAAGGGACTGTATAGGAACAAAGAAATATATTTATCCAAACAATATATAATTTGTATTACTTAGGACTTTGTAGTATTTTAAAGAACCTCGTGTTGTAAGTTGATAGTTAATCTTGTTGATCCACATTTTTACATAATAATTAGAATTTATGGCATGAAATATCTTGCCTGGTTTTTAGTGTATGTACTCATCATACACATGTATTTTGTAGAAAAAGGTTATCTGTACTTGCTGAATTCAGACACTTGATACACATTATCTCATTAACCCCCATCAGACGCTGTTTGGGAGATGGTGGTTATCCTTACAGATTTGAAATGGACATTTAGAGAGGTTAAATTCTTTATCCAGATTTCATGTTCACTGTATGGTGAAGCTGGGTTTTCCATTCACATCTGTGCGACTCCAAAGTCTCATTTCTTCTATTACATTATGCTGCCTTCCCAATAACACAAAATGCTGAATCCAAATAGAGTCTAACCCACTAACTCAGCCCAACAGGATATGAGCCATCTAGGAGGAGTTCGTAGAAACTTATTTCAAATTGGATAAATTCATCCAACAAAATACTGCGTACATAACATGTGCCAGACGGGTAGATGCTGAGATGTGGCCGTGAAGAGAGAATCTGATGGCTAGTTTGTGGAAGCAAAGTATGTAACATGTATGGCGCAGCTTATCCACGGTATGATCTCGATTCATTACTGCTGGGAAAGGTAGATAGTTGGTTAATTTAGAAACTCCGTTAGACAGGGGAGTCATAACAATTATATATAAATATCTTAAACATATTAACTGAAAGCAAACAAACGCATCGTCATTCACCAATGTGTTCATGTGAAAACGACGTTTTCTCTGAGTGTGCCCGACAGCTGGCATTATGAGTTGACTTTCTTATGCATAACACAAAACAAAAAATCTTCCGAGGTTTAGAATTTCGCGTTCTTGTAAGAGGAGCAATAACTTTGAAGATTCTTGCAAAGCTTTATGAAGTTAGATACTTTCTAGAACTTCAGAATTCCTGATATAAAATTTTTATAATCTTCTCACCCATACGTCTTAACGCAATTTTAAAGTCTATTTAAATGTAATTAATACTTTGATCATATGCATCACATTAGTGATTCCCCAATACTTCCAGTTGTTTTTAGAAATGTACAGTCAACCTTTTTAAAGGTATATTTCACAGTTCACAAGCAGACATAAGTATGTGTGCCTGTACTCATTAAACGTGTTATGTATACACTCCCTTGATGTTTGTGAGTTCCCTGGGTGGCGTTTGTTTATTTTCCTGGGCATGTATACGTCTCCAGGCCTTGGGATACCTTGGTCCTCACTGCCACGCTGGAATGGGGGCTGCTTTTCAGTTTAGATTCTTCGCTGTTCATGTACGCACCGTCTCGATGTCTTTGCGTTCCCTTCTGCTGGCCCGATGGGGCTTGCCCGTGTCTGCCCCGGCCCGTTCGTGGCCCGTCACCCGGTGCCTTGTGCCCGTCAGCAGAGCTCCAAACACCGAGAAGCGACACCAGGCATTCAGAAGTGAACGGGCCTCGTGGGAAACTCACTAAAACCCGCCCAGGCATGATTTGAGATGAAAAGTGTTGGTTGCAATGGCACATAAAGTGGAGTATGCGTTTACTGATTGCAGGCGACCCGTGTAATGTGGACACCGCCTCTCCGGGAGAGTTTCTCGTATCCGTTCCTCGTTCTTCAGATGTTCGTCTTAACTTTGATCCTCAGGTAATTTTTATTTTTATTTGTACAACAAATCTGAATAACCGACATCTTAATTTCTTAAAATCTACTTCAACCTATTAAGTTATCATTCAAATGTAGGTGCTGTTTTTTAGTTATGTTTAAAATAACTTGAATATCCAGTGAAGAAACTAACCTACAATACTAGGTTTTAGATATTTTAATAAATATGTAAGGTTTTATGTACATTTGGTAAAAATTCCAAGGTTTTTAAAAGACTATTACTTTTTTTCTCCTCAAAGCTCTATCATCTGACTCATTGTTTTCCCACCTGTGGTTCTGAAGGAACATTAATATATATTCTAAGAGAGAAGTGTCCCGTGTACAGATGAACTTGGGAAATGCTGCATTAGAGAGATAAGGAACATGTATATTCATATATCTATAAAAATTTCGTAGCTACCGATGTTTCTAGCAGTTCATTTGTTTCATTTCAGGTGCTTTTCTTGGACACATTTACTTTTGTTGGAATTAATTTTATAAGCCTTTCAGATTTTAAGCAGTCTGTGAAACAGCAACAAGAAAAACATAAATAGCAGGATACTGTAGATAACTTGATCATAGAAACAGGTTTCACAGATGTTTAGTGAGCCTGTCACCGAATGAAACTGACCACTGTCTCCTCGAAATGCCCCGGAAACCTCATCCCTCACTTACCAAGACCTATCAGATTCTGCCTACATTGAAATCATTTGTGTATGTGGCTTTTTTTCTTTCTTAAAACTGTAAATTTGCCACTCAAGCACACACACAAATGTCTGCGTACACACTGAACACGATAAAACGCCGCTGGAAAGGGGGACCTGCGTATTCTCTCTCCCCCGGAGCCTCAGCTCATGGCCATGCAGCTGTGTCCGGCTCACGTTAGCTGACAGAAGGGACACAGCAGCGGACCGGGGTGGCGGTGGGGGGCTCCCGGCCTCGACAGAGGTGCAGACTGACTCTGGCGTGTGACCTGTGTGAGAGTTTAGTGTGCGATTGAGTTTGGGTTTGGGAACCTGCTCTCCACCCAGACTCGGCTGTCTTTGCTCTGCACGTTCCCGTTGCTCAAAGATGTGGTGGGGGAGCTGCCCTTCCTCCCGCTCACTCCAGCTAAACTCCCAGAAAGATGGTTTCTTTTCCAGTTTGAGTTGTTGTGAAGTGATGCTCATCTGGCCAGTCGGGTTTCATGGGATGGAGTGTGCCAGGTGCCACAGTTAGGAGGGTACCCTGGGGAGCACGTGCCAGACTCTGCACCTGTGCCAGAAGGGGTTTTTGTTTGACAAATACAGGAAAACTGAGAACTTAATGCATATCGTTTTCTGATAATATTAGTAAACAATATGAACATTTAAAAATCCTGCTCTTGAAAGATTTATATTCCACACTAGAAGGATTGCTCAATATCCATTACAGCCTTTACAAAAAGAACAGTTACAGTTTTATTACTTACACAAAATGTTTGCGTTTCTTTTTTGACATTCTAAAGTATACTAAAGTCTGCGGTGAAGGTGGTGGTGACTGATACACCTCATAATTGCAGAATGGGCGGTTTCAACTTTAATATGCAGTAGTTCTGTATTCCAGAATTATTCTTTTCAAGTCATTTTAATTTTTAAAAATGTCTCTTATAGTTGTTCATTTCTTGCTTCACCAGCACTTAACACTTTTCATCGCTTTTTAAAACATAAAGGTGGTGGCAGGTGAAAGTTATTGCTGCTCATACAGGGCGCACATCTTGAAGTATGAGTCAGCTCACATTCTGTTTTCCGACCTTGCTGGAGTATTACATTTCCAATGCCAGGCTTAGTTAGAGGAAAATAAACTTTTATGTGTAAAATATTTTATTTACCGATAAACTAGGTATGGTATTTCCTTTAAAGCTCTCATTCTGATCCCTTTATGCTAAACATTTTTGTAATCCAGGTCGTGTTTTGTTTTCAATGTGCTTTTAAAAGTTAACTACATTTTGTTGCCTTAGATCAAAGATGGGGAATCATTCGAGTTGATCATGTTGCCGTCATCTTTCTGTTTAGTGATAGGCTGCTTTCATGGTAAACTCACTGGTGCCAACTCTCTCCCGTAGGACCTCGCACAGTAACGGAAGGCATTTCATTGCACTTTGCCTCTCCAATGTTGCTTTTATGCTTCCCTGGCAGTTCGCTCAGTTTATACTCTTTACGCAGGTAAGATGATTGATTTTAAACTAAGTTAAGTTGAATGCAAATGTACTTGGTTGTTTCCATGCAAGTTTTCAAATGTGATTATATTTGTGCCCTAATAGCTTTTCAAAAAATGTAATGATTATGAAGTTTACATACATGTGTGATTTAAAAAAAAAAATTATATGTTCTACAGTCTACTAATGCATTGCTTAGTTAGGCAGATATTCATGATCAGCATGTAGAAGGCTCTTTCTGATTTGTTGTTGTTGTTAATCCTCACCCAAGGATATTTTTCCATTGATAGAGTGGAAGGGAGGGCATGGGGAGAGAGAGAGAAAAACATTGATGTGAAAGAGATACATCAATTGGTTGCCTCTTGCATGACCCTGACCAGGCTGGGGATGGAACCTGCAACCCAGGTATGAGCCCTTGAGTGGGAATCAAACCTTTGACCCTTTGGTCCTCAGGCTGACACTCCAACTGCTAAGCCAAACCAGCCAAGGTCACTTTTTCCAATTTTTTTAATTAACATTTTTCTTGTTGGTATTTGAAATGAGCTCCATAAATCTCCCTGTAGATTTTCTTTTTGCCTTAGAAGTTACTTTGGGTGGGAAGCTACACAATGTGGTATAGGCCAGTCCTATTCTTCATGGTAGGGGAATTCCGCTTCTCATCTAGCTTAAATATGGGGCATTGTGTCTGAAGGGCCGAAGTTACTGGACTCCATTTCTCAAATGTTCATTTTTTATTATTTTTCAATTATAGTTGACATACAATATTATCTTAGTTACAGGTATATACCCCAGTGATCAAACATTGTAAAACTTATGAAGTGATCATCCCAAAATATCTCATACCTGACACCATACATAGTTATTAGAATATTATTGACTATATTCCCTATTCTGTACTGTGCACCCACCCCCATGACTACACAATAACTACTAATTTGTACTTCCAAATCCCTTCACCATTTTCACCCATCTCCCCAAACCCCCTCCCTTCTGGCAGCCAACAAAATGTTCTCTGTATCTATGAGTCTGTTTCTGTCTGTTCATTTATTTTGATTTTTAGATTTAATTATTGAGAGATATGCATTTATTGCCATTTTATTGTTCATATTTTTTATCTCTTATTTTATTTTTTTTTTTTCCTTCTTAAAGAAGACCCTTTAACGTTTCATATAATATTGGTTTGGTGGTGATGAACTCCTTTAGCTTTTTCTTGTCTAGGAAGCTCTATATCTGACCTTCAATTCTAAATGATAGCTTTGCTGGGTAGAATAATCTTGGTTGTAGGTCCTTGCTTTTTATCACTTTGAATATTTCTGATCACTCTCTCCTGGCCTACAAAGTTTCTCTTGAGAAATCAGCTGACAGTCTTATGGGTGCTCCCTTGTAGATAACTAACTGCTTTTCTCTTGCTTTTAAGATTCTCTCTTTGTCTTTAACCTTTGCCATTTTAATTATGATGTGTTTTATTGTGGGCCTCTTTGGATTCATCTTATCTGGGACTTTGCACTTCCTGTACTTGTATGTCTGTTTTGTCACCGGGTAAAGAAAGTTTTCTGTCATTATTTTTTCAAATAGGTTTTCAATTTTTTTTTTTTTTTTTTTTTTAATATGTGCCCCTAGTGGGAACTGAACCTGGGACTCTCTGGTCCGCAGGCTGATGCTCTAACTGCTGAGCCAAACCTGCCAGGGCGGTTTTCAATTTCTTGCTCCTCTCTTCTCCTTCTTGCACCTTCATGATGTGAATGTTGCTACGCTTGAAGTTGTCCCAGTGTCTCCTTATTCTGTCTTCATAACTTTGCTGTCCTAAATACGTGTTTTTTGCTTCCTCATATTTCAAATCTTTGATTTTGTTCTTGGTGTCCTCTATTGTTGATTCCCTGCGAATTATTCTTTATTTCAATTAGTGTATCTTTTATTTCTGACTGCTCCTTTTTTATATTGTTGATGTTCTCACTAAGTTCCTTGAAGTTCCTAGTAAGTTCCTTGAGCATCCTTATAACTATTTTTTTTAAACTGTGTATCTGGTAGTTTGCTTGCTTCCATTTAATTTAGTTCTTTTTCTAGAGATTTCTCCTCCTCTTTCATTTGCGACATGTTTCTTTGTTTCCACATTCTGGCTGTTTCCCTGTGTTTGGTTCTGTGTATTAGGTAGAGCTGCTATGTCTCCCAGACTCCGTAGAGTGGCAGTGTGTAGTACATTTCCTATAGGGCCCAGTGGCTCAGCCAACCAAGTCACCTGAGCTGGGCACTCCAGGTGCACCCTGTGTGGGCTGTGTGCACTGTCCTGTTGTGTTTGAGGCTCGATTGCTGTTGGTGTCACTGGGAGGGATTGACCTCCAGTTTCAATTGGCTGTGAGGACCAACTACAGCCAGAGTTGGTCTGTAGGAGCCGACCCCAGTCTCAATGTGGCCTCTTTGTTAATTCCCTAGTTTAGGTCTTCCATTCAGCCAGATTTCAGGTGGTTCTGAATGATGGTTGGTTGTAGTTTAGTTGTAAATTTGATGTGGTGTGAGAGGAGGCGAGTACCACTTTAACCTATGCCGCCACCTTGACCCCTATAAAGTACTTTTTAAACCTCCATTTCTCAACTTTAATTATAATATGTCTTGAATGAATTGAGGCCATATCCTGTGTCCCCAAACAAACTGTACTTAATAGCAAGAAACTGAGCTGGGGAAGCGGCAGGTAAAAGGTCGATTATGATGAAATTTCATGATACCAAGATTCTGCAGTAGAACTCCTTTCCACCTAATAAATAAACACAGATAATAATAACATCCTTTATTGGCAGTAAGAGACCCTGCCGAGGAGCCTGTGCCTCAAGCTGTCTCAGCCTAATTGGTGCTACATATTCAAAGCATGTTTAAAATATTCTCTCTGCTTCACTTCCTGCTAGTTGGCCCCCTACAGGTTGTAACACAGCAATTCTGTGGTTTTCATTACTTGCCAACGTAGTAAAATAGATTTACCATGTGCATCATTTCCTTGCAAGCAGATTTATTGATCCACTGGTGCTGATTAAACTATTCAAATAGCGCTTTCGGTCATTTTGATATTGCCTTACTGATTTTCTAGCCATGCAAAAGATGTACTATGCTTTTAGTGTTCTTTTGTTTTTAATCAAGATATAATTGACATATCACACTTTATGTGTTTAAAGTGTACAATGTGTTGGCTTGATACATTGTTACATTGCAAAATGATTACCACCTTATTGTCACCATAGTGTTAGTTAACACCTCTGTCAAGTCACATTGTTATTTTTCATGTGAGAACATTTAAGGTCTAGCATCTTAGCAACTTTAAAGTATATAATGCAGTAATGACTGTAATCACTATTCTGGGCATTAGATCTCCAGAACTTACTCATCTAGTTGAAGTTTGTGCCTTTAATCAGCATTTCTCCTATCTCCTCACCTCCCAGCCCCTGGTAACCACCATTCTATTCTCTGTTTCAACCAATTAGGCTTTTTAAGATTCCACATATGAGTGACATCATAAAGTGTTTGTCTTTCTATGTCTGACTGTTCTCACTCAGCATAATGCCCTCAAGGTCCACTATGTTGTTGATTTCCTTTTTTCTCATGGTTGAATAATATTCCATTACACACACACATATTGCATCTTCTTTATCTATTTGTTAATAGTCACTTAGGTTACTTCCATGTCTTGGTTATTATGAATGATGCTGCAATAAACATGGAAGTGCAGATATCTCTTTGATATTCTGTTTCTATTTCCTTTGGATGTATACCCAGAAGTGGGACTTCTGGATCATATGGTGGTTCTATTTAGAGTTCTTAGTATAGTTTGTATACCAGACATTTATCAGATATGGGTTTTGCAAATATTTTTCTCACAGTCTGTGGCTTGTCTTTTACTTTTATTAATAGTGTATTTGCAAAGCTGAGGTTTTTAGTTTTAAGGGAGTCTATAATTTATCAAATTTTTTCTTTCATGCATCATGCTTTGATGTATCTAAACATGCATCCTCAGAGAAGTTCACCTAGATTTTCTCCTGTGTTATCTTTTAGAAGTTTTATAGTTTGTGTTTTACATTTAGGTCTAAGATCCATTTTGAGTTTATATTTTTTGAAACATGTAAGGTTGAGGTCTAGATTTATTTTGTTGTGTATGGGTGTCCGAGACTTCTAGCACTGTTTGTTAAAAAGACTGTCATTTCTCCATTGAATTGCCTTTGCTCCTTTGTCAAAGCTCAGTTGCCTGAAACTGTGGATCTGTTTCTGGGATCTCTATTTTATTCCTCTGATCAACTGTCCATTCTTTTTCCAATACCATGCTGTCTCGATTACTGCAGCTTTATAGTAAGGCTTAAAGTCCGTTAGTCTCCAGCTGTTTTTAAGACTTTTTATTTTTGCCTTTGGCTTTAAGCAGTTTTTACTATGATATTCCTGTGTGTTCAGGTTTATTTGTTCTAATGTATCCCTTGCTGGGGTTTGTAATACTTTATGAATCAGTGGTTGATTTTTTTTTCTATACATTTTGAGAACTTCTCAGGTAAAATCCCTTTAAATATAACTTTTTCTTAATTCCCTTATCCCTTTTTGAGATGCAAAGTAAAATATATTAGATCTTTATACCATATACTCTACATCTCTCATGTTCTTTCATATTTTTTCACCCATTTGTCATTTTATGCTTTCTTCTAACCTGTCTTTCAGTCTGTCACTTCTTTGTTTGGCTGTGTTTAACCTGCTCTTAAACCCATCTCTAACTTCTTAATATTGGTTATTATAACATTTAGTTGTACATTTTCAATTTGCTTTTTAAATGGCTTTCAGTACTCTCCATGAATTTTCAATCCTTCTTATTATTTTCTTGCACATGTCAAATGTAAAATCTACGTCTGATGATGTCAGACATGTTTTTGAGTGATTTTTGACCCAAGAATGGTTTTTACATTTTAAAAGTATTGTTTAAAAAAAATAGAAAAAGAACACAGCAGGTCCTCGAATATTGTCATTTCATTCAATATTGTATTGTTATAACATTGATGAGATTCCATAGAACTTAACTCTTGTTCATATCAATTAGCCTATGGCAAAATTGTTTTTATATGTGTCTTTTTGCTTAAAGCCACAGAACTTATTGACAGTATTAAGTGAGAACTTACTGTATGCAATAGAGACTATATGTGGACCATAAAGTGTAACATATTTACTATCTGGTTTTTTACATAAAAAGTTTGCTGACCCCTGAAATAGATTTGTTATAACATCTTATTTCTTCCCATATCTAGTTAGTTTTGATGAGGTGTTGGGCATTGTACAAGAACAATGGTATGGTTAATTTGACATTCGGTTGATATTAACATCTTCCAGAGAAGATTAAATTTGCTGCCAGAAGGCAAATAAAGACACTAACAATCTTGAATCACCCTCATGCAATCAGAGAATGAGGTGTAGCTCAAATGTGGGCTTTCATCTTTCTCAGGACACTTGATTTCTGGTTTTCTCTTGTTTCCTTTGCCGAAGCCCGAGGACTTAATGGAATCGCACTCTTGGTATCTCAGCCCTCGCTGCCGAGTGTGGGAATCTCCCAACTGCCTCTCAATTGCCAGGCATCTGCTGCTATTAGACCTGACTTTTCTGGGAGAAAAGTAACCCCAAATGTCATGCTTATCACTGCAGATTTCCATCTTTTCTGTGGTCTTAGATTCTTTTTTTTTTTTTTTTCCTTTTTCTCCTTCCTTATTAGTAATCTGTGACTTTCACACAGGTATTTTTCCTAACCTAGTTCTCAGTGAGAAGGTTGGTTGAAATTACTTAGGTATCATTATTAGAAATATAACTCTCCTGTTAGATTTACTTTGCTTATGAATAGTGAAGTATTTGTTTCCTACAATTTTTTTTTACTTTTGCTTTTTTAATATTTTTATTTCAGATAGCCTCATTATTTCCCATGTTTGTTGTGGGGTACATTGAACCAAACAAATTTAAGAAGATCATTTATATGAACATGGTAACATTTTTTTTTATATAAGTCAAATATTAAACTAAGATCTTGGGCTACTTTCTTTCAAGTTGTATTTAGTACATATGATTTTTATAATACCCAGAAGGAAAACAGGAAATGTATATTATAGGTACCATATTATAACATACTTTCAACTATAGTGTAGTTTTACTCTGAAAATTTTAGTTTTATATGGTATTATTAGTCACTACTTTGAAACCGTCTTTTCCCCTGAAACCTGAAATCTCTGACATTGGGCATGAATGTGACACTGTAAATTTTATATTTTCACATTTTTGTTTTCACCTTAGTTTCTAAACATATCTTCTTTAAGAACATGAAAATAAATATCTTCTAGCTAAGAACATAAAATTAAGCTTTTCTAGTGATAGATATTCTCAAGTGGTCCAACAAAAATAAGATAAAAAATAAATACAACTAAGTCTTTTTTATTATTCCACTATTGAATCAATAGAAATAGTAGTTTTTTTTTTTCATTTTCTTTGTACCAAGTAGCAGAGAAAAAAATTAAAATTTTCTGTATAGAATTTATAGTGTTGAAAATACTTAGAACCTTTTAGTGTGTTGAAATACTATATCATCTGCCCAAGATCTATTTATTAATATTATTTATGCATATAAAGTTTGTATTAGAATGGCTATATGCCTATAGACAAAGAATGCATTATGCTATATATCTAATAATGATAAAATGTGTTTCTTTTCTTCAATTTTTAGATTTCAGTTCTCCTTTGTTTCGTATTGATGTTTGGAAATCCAATGTATTTATCTTCTTATTATTCTTCATCTTTGTTAATGACATGGGTAAGTATTTGTTAAACTCATGAAGCTTTTTTTTTCTTCCTTTTTTAAACCTGTAAAATAGTAGGTTTAACCTACCTGATACTGGTTTAGAAGAATAAATAGGACCCTTTCCTGATTATTACTCACATGAAAAAGTTTTTCCCAAATAGCGCATATTCTCTACCTCATCCTTGGAAAATAACATGGCACAGCGTTTACCATTTTAAGCATTGCCTAAGTAAATATTTTAAAACAGCAATCAGAAAGTAGTAAGACTTGCTTTTAAAATATGACGTAATTTATAATGAAAATTAGTTACTTCCTTCTGAGTCAGTTCAGTAGGCTAAGCACTCGTTACGGTGGCACCCACCATTGCTCAGAACGGTGTTGGAACTCCTCTGAGTTCCTTCCCAGGCTGTGGCACGTTCCTCTGAATATCCTCAATGGTGGCAAAACTTCATCCTTCAAGGGCAGATTTGATTTTTGGAAACAACCAAAGTCTTGTGAATAAGGTGGGTGATTGGGCTGGGTAAGGTATAGATCTTGATCAAAATAAGTTGTGACATTAAAGTAATAAGACCTATTTTCTTGCACCCATAACTAAAGTATCTCTGAAGGTAGTTTAGGAAATGGAGTTCCAAACTGTGTTTGAGCAATGGTTACATAATTAGAATAAGTGTATAGGCTTCTCATGTGACTCAATTTAACTGAATAACTCACATTTGGATATGTATTTGGAAGAGTGATTCAATAAATCGGTTGTATTACTTTACAGTCACACTTCTGATATTTGTAAGCCAGACCTATAATGTTCTTCTCCACTGGAATGTTCCTGGCATGTTCTCTTTGCACAGATATCAGAAATCATACCAACCACAGTCATACCAAAATAGAGCACATTTTGATATGTTTTTATTGATTTTTTTTACAGAGAGAGGAAGAGAGAGAGAGAGAGAAACATCAATTGGCTGCCTCCTGCACGTCACCCACTGGGGATCAAGCCTGAAACCCAGGCATGTGCCCTGACCTCTCAGTCCATGGGACAGTGCCCAGTCCACTGGGCCACACCGTCCGAGCATGAGCACTTGTCCATGTATGGAGCATCGAGTGAATCTTTTGGGATTGCCCTTATGTTGTAACATTTTTGCTCCTCACACCCTTTTCCCCCTCATGATAAGTGATCTCTTTCTCACTCCTCCAAAACATAGTCTTTTCATTTACAATATTCTGTCAGACTTTTTCAACACGACAAGATAGAGGACTTGTAATAGTGTGTTCATCCAACTCTTTAGAAAAGCTCTTTTGTTTTGAAATATAGACAGATACGGAAAACTACATAAGACATGTTTCATGTACTAACAATACTAACTAGTACTGATAAGCACTGATTAATGAACTGTTTTTTGGCAAATATACTTAAACTACCATCAAATCAAAATCAGAACTTTTCCAGCCATCCTGCCTCAATTATAATTCCCCTGCACTACTCTGAAACAGTAACGGCTTGACTGTGGTAATCACTCCTAGCCTTCCTTTATAGTTTCAGTACTTGCATTACTATTTTTAGCTACAGGTTACCTATTTATCTGCTTGATTTCTTTCCCAGGAAATGTATTTGTTGAAGAGCCTAGGTCATTGAACATGTAGCAGGGATGGGAAACCTTTTCTCTACCAAGGGCAATTTGGATATTTATAACATCATTCCAGGGCCATACAGAATTATCAACTTAAAAATTAGGCTGCTATATCTGGTCAGGATAATTTGGTGAGGCATGTGATGTTAGCTAGTATTGATTTTGCAGGCTGTATATGGCCCACGGGCCGGACAGTCCCCACCCTTGAGTATTATATGGTCTAGATTTTATGTTTTGAATCCTCCTGATGTAGTTTTACATCCTTCTTTGTCTTCTGTATTTATAATTATTAATAATTGAATCTAAAACTTGGACAGGTTAAGGTTTGACACCTTTAGCATAGTATCATTCTTTCATCAGGAGGAACATAATGTTCAGTACCTCTTTTTTTTATGATATCAGCCATCAGTGCTTCGTGCCAGATCCGTTAAGTCATCAGGATTGCGAAATGGTGATATTCTAGTCCCTCATTTGCAGTTTATATAGGAAAAGTAAAGCATATGTCTAAATGAGGGGAGTTGGGAGGAAATAGGAAAATGTTTGAAGAAATAATGGCAAAAATTTTTCTAATTTGATGAAAATTATTAACTCAGAGGTAAAGAATTTCAGTAAATCCCAAATGCAAGAATGGCATATTAGAATCAAATTGCTCAAAATCAGTGACAAAGGTAAATATTAACAACAGCCAAAGAAATAAGACATGTTAAATATAGAAGAACAAGTATAAGGATGTCAGCAGATTTTTTCATGAGAAAAAAATACAAGCAATAAGACAGTTAAAATACTTAGAATTTCTTTTAAATACTAAAAACAAAACAAAACAAAACATAAAACACTGTCAATCTACAATTCTATACCTAGCAACATATGGCTAAAAAATGAAGGTAAAATAAGGACTTCATGACCACATTTGCACTAAAAAAAAAGGTTAAAGGAGATCCTTCAGATGGAATGAGTATGATCATAGGTGTCAGTATGGCACAAATGAAGCCCTAGAAGTGGTAGCTGGAGGTGCTGTTACAGAAGAAATACCATAGACTTGGCTGGATTACTTCTCATAGTTCTAGAGGCTGGGAAGTCCAATATCAAGGTGTCAGCTGATTTGGTTCTTGGTGAGGGCTCTTTTCTTGATGTGTGGACAGATGCCTTTATTGTATTCACACACATGGAGAGAGAGATCATCTTTCTGTTATCTTTCCTTATCAGGATACTAATTCCATCTGCTGGGGATCTAATTACCTCCCAGAGGTCACACTGGAGATTAGGGTTTCAGCACATGAATTTGGTTGGGGACATAAACATTTCCTTGATAGTACTGAGGGTATGGTTTTTGAGGGCCCTGGCTTTTTGCATGAGTCTCAGTTTCAATTTCTTGTCTTTCATAGTTCCAAGCCCTTTTCTGCTGCCCCCCCTTTTAATACTAGCAGGTAGTTGTAACCTCTTTTTACAGTCCTCCTTAAAAACTGCGTAAGTTTTCTACTAATTAATGTTTTAGTTTATTTTTGTTGTTTGTTTGTTTTTTGGTCTGGCATCTGGAAAGTTCCTTTTCTTTCTTAAAAGTTAATTTAGGCTTCTAAAAAAGCATTTAAAAATACTTAATTTGGGAGTTTGGAGAGGGATTTTCATGTTAACTTAAACCACTAATTTTGCTGGATAACTTGCATATACCCTGGCATGGATATACCACCCACACACCCATCTACCTCATCAGAGAATTTGCCCTTCATAAAACATCGCAAGTAACACAGTGAGGAATGAACTTTATTCTAGGGGTCACTTTTTAGCGCACAAAGCATTTAGCTCTCACCCCAGGGAAACTTTGTCTCGTTCAAATTTTGAAAACAATCAACAGATGAGAAGGAAAGAGGCTGGTAAAATAGGCAAGATGGATAAGGGTGGCTGTGTAATTTTTGAAATGTATAATTTATATAAAATATAAGGGTTAATTTTCTTTCATCTTGTATCACATGTATTTTAGGTGATGATTCTAAAGAGAAATAATATTCAAAGATTGAGAGTATCTGAGCTCAACTTTTGGGTAAGATTCAACATTTTTAAAACAATTTCTTCAGACTCCTTTTATTTCTATAGACTGACTAAGATAATGTATGTACAGATGGAATGATTTAGAGTTCACGAACCTTATAAATAGCTACTTGCTTATGGTAGGAAATAGTCCTTAGCAACAGTCACAGGTCATTCTTAAGAAGCGTGTTCATGTACGTCAGTTCCGCCCTCAGCCTGTCTTCCTTTACTGTTCATTCAGCTCTACCCCCACTGACTGACTTGAATTTTGTCTTAAGTTGCTCTCTTTCAATGAACTAACCTTCTCTTCAAAGTAACTAAGTCTGTAGTTCTGTTTCTACTTTGCCCCTTTCTTTTCTCTACATCTGTCGGTTACCTGTCTTTCCTTCTGCTTCTACCTTTAGACTTTAGTATTTTTGTCCTTTTAACATTTCTCTACAATCTCCCAGCCTCTTCTTATTTCATCCTAGACACTGCTTAATCTTTGTTCAACTTCCTCTCAATATACAAATGGGTGACCTATGTTACCTCTATGTGGGTGTTTTGTTTCCAAATAAAATTAAGTATAGCATTAGGTAGTCTCTGCAATTACTAATTATCACACTATCAGCAGATGACATTCATTCTTTGTCTCTGATTTACTTCTATTAAAAAATAAAAACTGCTATATTGAAGAACTATGTGATTATGTATTATACTGATAGGGTAAAACTGGGAAAGAGGTGGTAAGATAAGAAAGTGCATTTCTACTCAGAATACGAAAGAACAGAATGGAATGTGTTGCCAGTTTCTCATTGCTGGAGGTGCCCTCCCATCCCTTAGAGTGAACATGTAGAGGTACTTGTACACTTAAGTTATCGGATGACATATGATATTTTTACTTCAGAAAAAATGGTGGTAGTTGTCTTTTGAAATATGAAATCAAGAAATCAACAGAAAATTCAAAGATTTTTATTTAATAACTACTCAAAGAAATTGAAAATTTCAATGACAAACTATTGAAAAGTGACGACATAGGACAGTGTCCATGGACATTTAGAGAATTCTGTCAAAGCTGTTCTCAGAGGCAAATCTGTTATTTTAAATATTTTCAGTTTTAGACTGGAAAGAATAAAAGTTAAGCTAAGCTTTTATTTCAATAATTTCAAAGAAACAAAGTTCTAAGGAGAGAAAAGTTGAGATATAATGAATGTTTAACATATATTTATATTTTAAAACTTGTATAATTGATATCAAAAGACTCTTGCAAAAGGGAGAAACAAATAATGGTAGTCATCTAAACAATTCAAAAGATGTTCTGGCTTTTTATAGCTTTTGTAATTTTTATCTTAGAGAAGATAGTCAAAAAGGAAAAGCAAAGATACTTTGTAAAGTAACACTTTTTCTTATAAAACACCTGTTTTAATTCTCAAGTAATTCTTACATGGTAGTGGAATAAAGATTATATTGCATATCTTACTCTGTCATAATTGAAAAATTTGTGAAAAAAAGGTTATTATTATTTTGAATGACATTAAAAATGCAGAAAATTGCTACTTATAAGTGATTAAAATCTATTTTTAATATTCTTTCCCATCATGTGGCAACTTGGAAGAAACATTAGCAACTCAAGAACAGCTATATATAATTGTATATTCTCATTCTGATCAAATTGGCTTCATCCCAGGATGCACATATGATTCTGGAATTCATAAATGCAAATTATCACACTAACAGATTAAATGAGAAAAATAACTTATCATCATCCCTTTACATACAGAGTATGGATTGATAAAATGGAACATCTATTTATGATAAAAACTCAGCACAGTAGAAATAGCATGGAGTTTTCTTAACCTAATACAATTCTTCAGCACTCGTTGGTCTCACAGGTGAGGCGTTCGGAGTGTTCTGTTTAAAACAAATAACAAGATGAATGTGTTCTTTTCACATTTCATTAAAGGTCTGTGCTAGCACATTAAAGCAAGAAAGTAAACAGGAATAGGAAGGAAATGGAAAGGAAGAATCAAAAGTCATAATATTATTTACATAGAAATCATTAAATAATTTTCAGAAAATTATCAAAAATTAGAATTCAATAACATGGTTAGAATTAAGATTAATATTCAAAAGTGAATTAATATTAATATTCAAAAATGAATTACATTTTTATTTTCTGGCAACAAAGAGAACATATTTTGTAAATTTGTCATATAAAGAAGAAAAAACAGTATCTGAATAAATTTAACAAAATACATAAAATACTTGCTTGGGAAAATTATTTTTAAATGATTAGGAGAAATAATATAAAAATAAATAGAAAACTTATACCATGTTTATGCATAGGAACACTCTATATAATGTCATTTCTCTTGAGTTGATGTTTAGATTCAAAGCAATTATAACAAGATTACCTTGCAGGTCACTTTTCAATGAATGATGCTGGAATAATTTGTTATATATATGGGAAAAATTATATCACATACAAATATCAATTTCAGACTTGGTCATTATAAATATTTTCAAGCTGGATTTCCTCCCATTTGATCTATGTTCATAATTCTTTTTTTTTATTTTTTTTGTTTTTTTTATTTTTATTTTTTCAAATCTTTATTGTTGGATGTAAAATGTATTACAGATGTTCCACATTTTTCCCCCATTGACCCCCTCCTCCCCACTCCCGCCCCCTCCCGCCTTTTCCCACACTATTGTCTGTGTCCATTGGTTATGCATATAAGTTCTTTGGTTTATTTCTTCCCACCCCCCCAATCCCTTTCCCTTCGAGGTTTGTCAGTCTAGCAATGAATTTGTGCTTCTTAATCCCTTCACCTTTTTCACCCATTCCCCCAACCTCCTTCCCATCTGGCAACCAACAAAATGTTCTCTGTATCTATGAGAATGTTTCTGTTCTTCCTGTTCATTTTGTTTGTAGATTCCATTGTTGATAGATATGTATTCATTGCCATTTTGTTTGTTCATACATTTTATCTTTTTCTTCAAGAAGACCCTTCATCATTTCATATAATAACGGTTTGGTAGTGATGAACTCCTTAACTTTTTCTTGTCTGGGAAAGTTTTTATATGTCCATCGATTCTAAATGACAGCTTTGCAGGATAGAGTAATTTTGGTTGTAGGTTCTTGGTTTTCATCACTGAATATTTCTTGCCACTCCCTTGTGGCCTGCAAAGTTTCTTTTGAAAAATCAGCTGACAGTCTAATGGGAACTCCCTTGTAGGTAACTAGCTGCCTTTCTCTTGCTGCTTTTAAGATTCTCTCTTTGTCTTGAACCTTTTGCATTTTGATGATGATGTGTCTTGGTGTGGGCCTCTTGGGGTTCATCTTGTTTGGGACTCTCTGTGCTTCCTGGACTTGTATGTCTGTTTCCTTCACCAAGTTAGGGAAGTTTTCTGCCATTATTGTTTCAAACAGGTTTTTTATTTCTTGTTCTCTCTCTTCTCCTTCCGGCACCCCCAAGATGCGAATGTTGGCACGCTTGAAGTTGTCCCAGAGGCTCCTTACAATATCCTCATTTTTTTGGATTCTTTTTTCTTTTTGCTGTTCTGATTGGGGATTTTTTGCTTCCTTATATTCCAAATCGATGGTTTGCTCCTTGGATTTACTTACTCTATTATTGAAGCTGTGTAAATTATTCTTTATTTCAGTTAATGCCTCCTTCAATTCTAACTGTGTATCCATGATTTCTAACTGGTCCTTTTTTATGCTCTTGAGGCCCTCCCTAAGTTCCCTGAGGTTCTCACTAAGTGCATTGAGCATCCTTATAAGCAGTATTTTGCACTCAGTATCTGTTAGGTTGCTTATCTCCCTTTCGCTTAGTTCTTTTATTGGGGTTTTGTTCTGTTCTTTCATTTGGGACCTGTTTCTTTGTCTCCTCATTTTGGTTGCCTCCCTGTGTTTGTTTCTGTGTATTATTTAACTAGCGGTATGGGGCTAGCTGAGACCCGATGCTGCTCGTTTGAAAGAATTTAGGAAAAACCTGAATCAGGATCCAAGACAGGCCAATCCTGTGGTTGAGCAAGTGGCAACAGCTTGGGTGGGCTTGAAAGTTGGGCGGGGCGGGGCCTCAGGGAGTCAGCAGGGCGGGGCTACCAGTGTGAGCCAGGTTGCTGGAGTCCCAGATATGGCTTCTGTCTGCCGCCCCAGGGAAGGGCTCACCAAGGGAACAAAGGCCTCTTACAGCATGTTTGTCCCCGAGGAAGCCCCCTCTCCAGCCCTCGCTCCAGTGCCAAACAGCTCAGTTCTTCCCTGTGTGTCTCTGGCGCCCCTCGAGCTGCCTCCCCTCCAAGCTCAGAGGGAGAGAGTCCGATAAGTCTGTGCGCGGGTCCTTTAAGGAGCTGCCTGGGGCTCCAGCCGCCTCAGCCTCCCTGAGCCTCAGTTCCCGCTGGTTTTCCAGCCAGAAGTGATGGGGATTCTCTTCCTGGCACTGGGACCCTGAGCGGGGCACCTGGTGTGGGACGGGGACCCCTCAGTCCTCAGGGAGGACCTTCCCAGCCGAGGTGTCCTCCTGATTTTATCCGCCACACGTGGGTGTGGGACCAGCCCGTCTTGCCGCCGCGCCGCCGCCACCCCAGCTTGATTTCAGGCGGTTTTGAATGATGGTTGTTCTGTAGTTTAGTTGTAACTTTGATGTGGTTGTGGGAGGACGCGATACCCCGTTTACCTACCCGCCATCTTGACCGCAAGTCTATGTTCATAATTCTTTATGTGCTTTCTTACATTATGGCTCAGCAAGATACTCCAGGCTCTTCTCATATTTTCCTTGCCCCAACTCTGGAATCAGCCATTTTCCCTAAGATCCTTAGTTCCTTTTAGTGTTGGATGGTATTTAGAAACCAAGATCTGAGTGCTGAGTGTTCTCATTGCTACCAGTGTGTCCTTGTGTATCTGTATGTATGTACACTCACTTGTGTGTATGTATTTATATGTATGATGTGATGTTATAACTATACCTCCATATTCAGTCCAATGTTATAGGAAGATAGAACAACAGAGAGAAATTACCCAATCTAAATAACAAAGAAAAAATAGACTGGAAAAAGTCACAGAGGTTCAGGGTCCTGTGGAACAATAAGAAAATATCTAATATTTGTATCATCAAAGTTCCACAGCGAGAGGAAAAAGAGAGTGAGACTGAAAATGTATTTGAAGAAATAAGTCGTGGCTGGAAACTTCTTAAATTTGGTAAAAGACATAAATCTACAGAGTCAAGAGACTGAGTGTATCCCAAGTAGAAAAAAAAAACAAAAATCCATGGTTAGACACATCATAATTAGACTTTTGAAAACTAAAGAAAAAAAAGAATTTTGAAAGCAGGCAGAGAGAAATGATGCATTACCTACAGGGTAAAGCTGATTTGAAATACAGCAGACTTCTCATCTGAGACTATGGGGGCCTGGGGTGGTGGCACAACTTTTTGTCAAGTGTATCCAATTTTCTATAGGAACATCCTTTTTTGACCTCATTATTTATAAGCCTCACATGATTAATTTTTTCCTATGTCATTGATACAATTGAATATTTTAACTGGGACATTTTTAGTACCTGACTTCTATTTATTTTATTTATTCTTTAGCTAATTCAAGGTTTGGGTTGGTTATGTGGAACAATCATTTTGAAATTCCTGACATCTAAAATCTTAGGCGTTTCAGACCATGTAAGTACTTTCTAGTTAAAACATAAAAAGTTCTGTAAATATGTGTACCTGGGTGAATACTGAAACCATCTGTTTTTACCACTTCATTTTATAGCAATTAAGTGCTTTCTTCAAGGTCCCCAAGCTAGTTATTGGCAGAGTCAATACTACCACATGCAATTGAATGAGCTTTTTTTTTGTTGTTGTTAATCCTCACCTGAGTATATTTTTCCATTGATTTTTTAAGAGAGAGTGGAAGGGAGAGAGGGAGGGAGGGAGAGAGAGAGAAACATTGATGCGAGAGAGACACGTTGATTGGTTGCCTCTCACATGACTCCAACTGGGGCCAGGGATTGAACCTACAACCTAGGTATGTGCCCTTGACTGGAATCTAAGCCATAACCCTTTGGTCCATTGGCCAACTCTCTCACCACTGAGCCAAACCAGCCAAGGCTCAATGAATGAGCTTTTCAACCCACTAAGAAAAAAGAATATCAGTGAATGCTGCCTTAGCCTTCCAGGACAAAAATTACTAATATGTTAAGTAGTTATTTGTTTATATTTCTGTTGTAATACAAATAATTATTTGTTTAAATAATTATTCATTTATTACAGATGTTAACATGAGCAGCCTGTACTCAGCTTTAAAATATAGAATTCTTAAAATATCAATATAGTTTTATTTATTTATAATTATGGATTAAATTTAAGATATGACTTGCTATTAAAAATTTTTTTTATAATATGAAAAGCAAGTGTTAAAAGTTCTCTATCTTTTTATCTTCTATAAAATATATCCCTCATGCATGGCATTTGTTTGTTTTAAGGCTAATGCCTTAAATAATGGCCCTTTTTATAGCATAAGTCCCTACCTAACAAATTAGTTTAAGGACTAGAAAACAATGCATGAATTTACTTTATATTTTTATCACTTTCTGTTTGGCTATGAGCATACATGCTTACAATAATATACTCTGAAATTTACCTAATCTGGTACTATCCAATTAGTACCCTGTCTAATACTGAAATTACTTCAACTTTAACAAAGGACTATAGTATTTACTCTCTAAAAGGTCAAGTGCTATCATCCAATAGAATTTAACTTGCATAGATGTTCATATTAAATAAAATTTCAGAATGTGAAGATTTATTTGCTATTTATTGCTAGCTTTGCATAGTGGTTTATTCGGTTTATTTGTTGCTGTTCTCTGGTATGTCTGACACATTTTCTTTTTTTCTTTCTCCTCTTCCTCTTCTTAACTTTCTATTCTGTAGGGAATATATATTTTATGATAAACTTTATTTGGGTCCCTAAGTTATTTACTTATCTATTAAGTAGGTCTGTGGTTTTCTTTTTTGCCTTGTTCTATGTTGTTGCCCAACCCTTTACAGATCTTACACGCACACACACACACACACACGTGTGCACACACACACATCCTTGGTACTCCTAAGTCATTTCTTCTGGGACAGTTATAAGAAAGATTTGAAACTCAAGTGTTTTGGTGAAATTATTAGTCACCAGGCCTACTCTGAATTGTCCTTGGTACTGATAGATAAGGAACCACGAATAAAAGAAAACCATAGATAATCATATATAAACTTGATATAAAGTAATTTCTGTTCCTATAAAATATTATAAATTAAGGTTTTATATACCAAATATTTTCTCCCCCCATCCTCCACCCCCTGGCCTTCTGAGAATGCAGTGGAAAAATAATTGTCCCCCTGACCGTAGGTAATAAACAACCAATAGGAAATAGTTCCCTTCCAATGTGATAGGAAGATAGAACAACAGAAAGAAATGACCCAGTCTAAACAGCAAAGGAAAACTAGACTGGAAAAAGTCAGAGAGGGTTAGGGTCCTGTGGAATAGCAGTAACGAAAGATCTGATACTCGTATCATCATAGTTCCACAGGGACTGAGAAAGCATTTGAAGAAGTAGTGTGATTGTGTTCATGGAAAAGGCCTTAGAGATCAAACCTCTAAATCGAAGCAGTATCTATAGCTGTAATTCTAAAGACGAGCTCTCACGTTCAGTGGCTTGAACATATGTTTGAGAAGTTCAAGATGCACCAAAAATTGTAATCAGTGCATGAAGCTGTGTGGAAATGACAGAATATAGAAAATGTGTTCATGATTTACAGTGTGTAGTAAAAGAGCTTAATATGACATTGTTTTTTTTTCTTGATAAATGATATGATTATAACATCTCATGATTCACTGCATGGTGGTTTCTGCCTAGCAAATATTGATTTTAGCTTACTCTTTACATTATCATCTCCACTTATTTTCTCTGATCTCTCTCAGCATTTCATTTCTCTTGACGTTTCTCTCCTTGTTGCCTAGTTGCAGGGCAGAGCATGTATTGTTCCTTGTGTCTTTTCCCTTTGAGGAGCACCATGTTCCGGGTTTGTGTGTTCTGTAGATCTTACTACTGTTATATCACATCCCTTGTTATTGACCATAAATGTCAATGTCATTTTAATTTGTTTTACTTTGTTTCCTTCCAGATTCGCCTGAGTGACCTTATAGCTGCGAGAATCTTAAGGTATACAGATTTCGACACCTTAATTTACACCTGTGCTCCTGAATTTGACTTTATGGAGAAAGCGGTATGTATTTTTTATTTTTTTGCTTTTAACTCCTCTACCTGTGTGATGGATTTCTGCTTTTCAGTTATCTTTTGAATGTGAAATTCGCATTCAGAAACATCCAACTTAGTTGCCCTGTCATTTTTTGCTGTCATGTTTGGCCCTCCTCCCCGGCTCTCATGCGTAAAAGCAGTACACAGTGCCCTCCCTTAGAGGGTCCTGATGGATGAATGAGATGATCGGCGTGAGTGCTGCCATGTGATCCACATATGTGCTGTTATCACAGCTCAGCGTCTTGCTGCCATCTAGGTCCGCTGGAGGTGTGGGACCACTCAGGAAAAGTCAGTCCAAAGCCTTTTCTCGGTTTTTAAAAAATTCAGTTTTATGTCATTTACTAACCCCAAATACTACAAAAGTTTTAAACAAGATGCTGCCGGCAGAAGTACGTTCTTCTCGTCCCTGCCCACCCAGCCATGCGTTCCCTCGGAAACAGCCCCTGGCCACTAGTCAGCTGCGAGGTCTTCGGGGTGGTCACAGGGCAAATCACTGCCCTGCACAGCAGCTCAGGGACACTCCTGAGCCGCTGCAGTCCTCGGTCGTGCTCACAGGAAGGACTCAGCTAGCTGTCCTCGCTGTTCTAGTCTCATCAGTGCAAATCACGGACTGTGCAGCCCAGGAAATGATCGTGTAGGGCCCAGCAAACACGCAGTAGAAAACTTCACACTATGTAATTAAAGGAGGGATAAGCCCAAAAGAAAGGAAAAATTAATAGACAAAGCTAATTTGAGGTTTAATACGTTTACCATTAAAATTTGGGGTAAATTCACATCACTGTTTTTTACGTTGATTCTTAGATTAGAACGTGAAGGTTGATAAACATATATTCTGTTAATGACAAAGTTCTACCTTTAAGAAATTTCACAGTGAGGCTCAATTTGACAAGGATTTTTACTCGTTTAATGTGAACTTGGACGAACGACCGTCTGGAATAACTGGTTTCATTTCAGACTCCCCTGCGGTACACGAAGACGCTGCTGCTCCCGCTCGTCCTGGGGATCACTTACCTCATCCTTAGAAAGGTACTTTTAGGAAAAGTGCTGTCACTGTGGATTCAAGACAAGGGCTTCTAATAGATTCATGATAATAGCTCTGAATTCTTATTTTTAGGATAAACTCTTCCCCTCCCCCCCAATTTTTGTATTGAAATCATTTTTTAAATCTGGTATTATATGTTTAGTTTTTTAGAAAGCCACTTTAGAAAAGGTATCCTTAGGTACTCTCTCCATTATCCACTAAGTGGCAAGAACTCTGTTAACATCCCAGGTGCACGGGGACCCAAGACAGGCCCGCACCTTAGGACTTCCAGCCAGTGGGGGCGGGGCCATGAAACAGCCACACGCATGACTAAAGCATTACAGTTGTTACGGATGCTCTGAAAGCCAAGTACAGGACAGCTTTGATGTCTTTTGACTACAAAGCTCGTTCAAAGAAATCCTGATCCATTTTGAGACATGCACAGGGGAAATTTGTATCACTATTAAAAAAACTCATTCTGTACATGTTCATTGTTTTCATAACTAAAGAGCATGTTATGGCTATGGAAGGAATAATGTTTAAACTACCACTGGCAGATTTTCTTGGTCTGGGAATGGTTTATCTGGTCAATGAGAGCAGGTCCTTAGTTTTAGCAATTTGAACCATCTTCATATGGTTTACAAGTTGTCTTGCCTTAAGGCAGTATCTGTTATTTCCTCCTGTGGGCAGAGCAATAACATGCTTTTTCTACCCCCAACCCCTGCCGAGTGCAGTGTGTTTAAACTGGTTTTCGGTATTTAGAATCAGAGTGCTTATCTTCTCTCTGTAGTTCTAGCTCCCATGTGTCTCGCTCCTTTGTCTTCACATAGAATGTGAATCATTTATGAGCGAAAGGCACCTCCTCCACATCTCTGTAGAGATGACCCTGGTCCCTAGGGACCACTTGGAAAGTCAGGATGGAGGTGATGGGAAGGACGGGTCGACCCCACCCGGGTTTGCTGCTCCCCACTCGCTTTGCCCTGCGCAAGTGGCAGGTTCTCTCCACCAGCCTGTTTCTAGTCTAGCGTGGACAGCTGGTGTTCTTACAAGGCTCCACTTGGAGTGGCTAATGCAGGGAGGAACTATTCTGTTTTATTTTTAATATATATTTTTCTTTATTGAATCTAGAGAGAGAGAGAGAGAGAGAGAAACATGGATGAGAGAGAACACCAGTTGGCCGCCTCCTGCACGCCCCCCACTGGGGATCAGGCCCACAACCTGGACATGTGCCCTGACCGGGAATGGAACTGGTGACCTCTTAGTGCAGGGTCGACAACCAACCACGGAGCGACACCGGCTGGGCAGGCAGGAACTGTTCTGTGAGGAGATAGCAGCACAGGAGACAATGAGAGCTAGATCCACTGTTACTATTTCCTAAAAAGTTAAGATCCAAGACTAGTAAACAACACTCCAAACACACCACATCTCAGAGCGTTTGCATGTATAGCAGATGCAGATGCACGCACACACGCATACCCACACACACGACACACACAGACACACACACCTGCAGCCATTAAGGCTCACTTTTTCTCTGCGGTCACGGACACCCCTCAGTCTTCACTTGTCCTGTTGTTGTTCAGTTTGCACCTCAAGGATATTTCGGATGTTCGCTTAAATTTTCACTTGTGTGAAATCCCTTCTGGGAAGGAAGAAAGGAAGGCATATGTGATTTTCCTGGGACACGACTGAATTTTAAACTCCTGGAAGTGTGTATCTCCTGTCCCCTCAATCAGCTTTGCTTGCCACAGTGACCGGGATTTTGTCCTGTCACCTGGGACAGCGCAGTGGCCAGGATTTTGTCCCGTCACCTGGGACAGCCACAGTGACCAGGATTTTGTCCCGTCACCTGGGACAGCACAGTGGCCAGGATTTCGTCCCGTCATCTGGGACAGCTGCAGTGACCAGGATTTTGTCCTGTCACCTGGGACAGCGCAGTGGCCAGGATTTTGTCCCGTCACCTGGGACAGCCGCAGTGACCGGGATTTCGTCCCATCACCTGGGACAGCCACAGTGACCGGGATTTTGTCCCATCACCTGGGACAGCCACAGTGACTGGGATTTTGTCCAGCCGCAGTGACCGGGATTTTGTCCTGTCACCTGGGACAGTCTTCCATGCAGGCGCTCTTGAATCAGAGAGGAGTTTAAAATTCTGAACTTAAGAGTTCCAATTTCACCATTTTTCTCCAGCATTATTCTGGGACTATAAACCATGCATTATGGAGAGTATAACATTTAAAGTTCCCCATAACGTTTTATCTTCCCATTTATGTCGCATCCGATGGCTGCTGGAGCCCCTCTGCCCAGCTTTAGCCTCCACGTCCCCTGCCCCCCACTCCGCATCACCTGTGCGTTTCCAGGTTCCCACACGTGCTCTTAGGCCTTGTGCGGCCGTGGCTTCAGGCTGCACAGACCGGGAGGCAGATGTGAGCCACAGCTAATCTGACAGTGATCAGGAGTTTGAGGGAGGTAGGAACTGACTGCGACGCTAGACAGACAGACAGAGAGAGAGTGTGCGTGAGTTTCCTGATTCGCTTGGAAGGTGAATGTAAAATAGCCTCTGAGCTCTGGCCTGTGTGGCTCAGTTGGTTGGGCATCATCTTGGGCACTGAAAGGTCGCAGGTTCGATTCCTGGTCAGGGCACATACCCAGTTGCGGGTTGGCTCCCCCATCAGGGAGCATACTAGAAGCAGCTGATGGATGTTTCTCTGTTTCCTTCTCCCTCCCTCCGTCCCTCTCTCCCTTTCTCCTTTCCTCTCTCTCTAAAAAAGCAATAAAAGCATATCTTCTGGTGAAGATTAAATAAATAAATAAACTTCTTTCTACTGGGTGTGTTTATGTTAATGAATGAGGGCATTTTAAATGTCGAATAATTTCTTAGAAAAGTTTCATTGATTTGATTCCATTCACAGACTTTCCGTGATATTTTAAGTGTCTTATCTACAAACACTTGTCTAAGGTAATTATATCATAGTTGTTACTAGATCATTCTATATTTAATTATTAAATAACTTACTGTCATATCAATGTTTCAGCTGAATGGCCATTAAACTTCAGCATTGTGATTAAGAAAAGAGATACAAACCAAACTTACATGTCTTCTAAAAATAAATAAGTAAAAGACTGAATGTATTAGTCTTATTGGTTGGATCTCTTTTATGTATTTGACCTGGTTTTGGAGATATTTATATTTGTGAATTAACTCAAAATTTAAATTGATTTAGTTTATTTTTAATATATGACTAGAATTTCAAGTCAATAAATAGAAGTAAGCTGAAGTTTTATTTGGGCAATCCCTTTTTTCTTTTTACTTTCGGAGAAAGCATAATTGTTTTTCTGAATATTCATGAAAGTTTTTTCTACATTTATTATTAAAACTATTTGTTCCATCACATATTGTTGTGGATTTAGTCAGCTCACTAGGTTTACGACATAAACATATGCACGAAAAATATGACATATAAGTAAATTGGTGAAGAAAACGTGTTCTGAGCAAACCTTCCCTTACATCGTATAGATGGAGATACGCCATCAGACGTGTTGTGTTGAAGGAGATACATGCGTGAGGACAGTTCAGATTCACAGAACGATGGTGCGGGCACAGGGTTCCCAGGAGCCCCACTCCGCATACCTGTGTTTTCAGTTAACAGCTTTGGATGGTTTCCGGAAATGCTAATTAGACTCTTACGGATGACATTGTTGAAATGGTGGAATCTTACTTGTTGAAATCGTTTCTAACCAAGGGAGCTGATAGACCCGCTCCACTTCGCTTGGCCGACGGAGCTCTCGACGTTCTGAGAAGAGCATGTAGGGCCCTGGGAACTGTTCACACGAGGGTGCACCGAGGGGCCTGGGGTGTTTCATCAGGAAATAGATGTCTGGGGGAACGTGGACACCGCCTGCAGACATTAGGGAGCATGCAGTGTGGGAGAGGGCACACCCCAGGGGCCAGCGGTGGGAAATACTTAGCTCAAAACAAGGAACTTAGACATTAGAAAGAACTGGCTGTGTGTGTGTGTGTGTGTGTGTGTGTGTGTGTGGATTCCTATAATAATACACAATTATAGGAATCCGCTGAGACCAAACAATGTATCAAGAAAAGAGGCAGCCCATCCTCTGCCCCCCTTGACTGCATAAGCCTAGAAAGCCAGAGATGGAGACAGAGTAATTGATTTCAGGACTGTTTGGAGAGGCTTTGCCCTGACTGCCCATTAAAAACAAATCTCTGGATCTGCCTGTGTCCTTGGATTTCTCTTACTTCTCCTCCAACCCCAAGATCCACGTGAAAAGGCCTCTGCATCATGTAAAGCTTTGTTATAAAACCAAAATATCTGATCTTTCTAATGGAACATAAAAGTAGGCAGTCTTATACTCTTTTATGAGTCTAACGCAAGCTCTCTGAGGATAAAACCAGAAGCAAATATACCCATTTGTGTTCCCTGCACAGAGCCCAGAACACAGGAAGAGTGCCGGAAACATTTAGTCGGTTTTTAGCCATAAATATTTAGTAAATTTGTTAGTCACTTTTCTGGAACTAAAAATATTTATAGACTGTACCCAGTAATTTTTCTTCTAGAAATTTATTCTAAGGAAGTATTCAGAGATGCTCACAGTTTTATGTACAAGGATGTTCGTGGTACTTACTATTGTGAAAATGAAAACAATTCAGAAGTCCAGCAGTACTGAGCATGGTTGACTATGTAAGAAACATGCTTTTGATTCATTTATCCTTTGAGAGGTACAGTTTCCAGCAATTAGTAAAATCTATTTTACCTTAAAAAAGGCTATTGAGCCCTGGCTGGTTTGGCTCAGCGGTTGGAGCGTCGGCCTGCGGACCAGAGAGTCCTGGGTTCGGTTCCCGCTAGGGGCACGGACCAAAAAAAAAAAAAAAAAAGAAAGGCTATTGAGACACCTTAAGTAGGATGACTGTGAATCACGCCTTCTAGATTGCTGTAACTTGTAATGATCTTATCTAACATATTCATTTTTCTTTATGCTTCTAAGTAGTTTAGAGGTCTAAGAAGAAATAAAGTTTATTTTTATGTAATCATAGTATAAAGGACATTTAGTAAACAGAATATTTTTGTTTTATTCTAGAAAACAGCTCCTTGAACACGGTGAGGTAAGGCCTTCATTCTAGCCTCTGGTAGATTTGTGTAGTGAGTTCCAGTCCGAGGCCAGTCCCCGGGGTGGGCCTTCGCTGACAGTCAGCGGCAGCGCTCGGGTGGTTCGGAGGTGGTGGTACATTTCTGCGGACCTTCTCACCTTTGAATCCGCTCTGATTCGAACAGTAGTAAGGATTGGAAAGCAGGAAGGCTGATTTACGACCGTGGGGCATAATTACATTTAATTACTTTCATTCATTAATTGTTTTGTTCATTTAACGATAACATCAATTTCTCGCTGGCCGAGCGAGTCAAGCATCAGATGGGTACCCGCGGCCCTGTGACTGGTGCTGGGCTTCTGCCCACAGGTGCGATGGGCAGTCAGTTAGTACGCTTTAGCAGTGTCACAGGATACAGAAGACGGTACAGCAGGGTCCCGCCCTCAGATATGTGTACGTTTTCCATGGAGACGTGGAAAAAACAAGGCAGCATGTTCTACGGTCCTGACTGACTTTGTGACATGCAAAGGGCTGAGGATATGATTCCCTAAGTAATAGAACTCCGGGCCTTAAAGGAAGGGCCACATTTACAAGGGAGGGCAACTAAATTTGAACTTCGTAGGAATAGCTTACAATGATAACGACTATTCTTTGAATAGTTACCAAGTGCCATGTACTGTGCTGTTTAATTCTCATAATCATAATATTCCCATTTTACAAATAAGAGAAGCATGTTAACTAGGTGATAATGACCCATTGCAGAGATGAACACTACACTAACTCAGTGGTAGGTGAACTCCCTGCTCCCACCAAGCTAAGCGCAGGAGTTCCTGATGAGCAGGGACCGTGAGACCCGGACTCCTTTCTGCGGTGGCTCCGCCCCTCCCGCACGCACCCTGCTCGGCTGCACCGACCCGCCAGCGAGGGGAGAACATGGGAGATGTGCCCTGGAGGCTCGGGGAGGGCAGGGCCGGGAACAGGTGCGGATGCCTCCCCGCAGCCGGGTACAGGCGCAGGGCCACCCCGGACGGCCAGGCAGGCCGGACACACACGGCACTTCGTGCCGGGAGGGACAGCACAGGGACCTCTGCTGAGAACAGACCTGGAGAAATCGGTGGCTGGCTGAGCCTCGAGCTAACTGGCAGGACAGCTTGCACTTGAACCCAGGCCCTCCAAGCCAGTCGGCACCGCTGCCTCCTGACCCCCTTACACCCACGGTTTCATTCTCACCGCAACCCACGGAGGTGAGCACTGCTGGCATTTCTGTCCCCCAGGGGCAGACGGGTGGCATAGGGAGGGACAGCTGGGTGGACCAAGGGCCACAAGCCCAGGGCGTCGCGCAGAATCCACGCTGTGAGCCAGTCACACCGCCGCCACCCAGTGGGACTGCTCATGGGAACCGGCCACGTCTCGCTCTGCACTTCTGTGCTTCTCCCACATCCGCACTGTACACTCCACCAGGCAGTACCTAAAACTGCCTCCTTGTAGAGACACAATGGTCCCAGTGTTCTGCCTCTCCCTTTCCCTCCAAACATGCTCCTGATTTTGCTCAAAGATGAATTTTACCAAGCACACAAAATGAAGGATTGACTTTGAAACAAATGTTCCACCTTCCAGCTCTGGGTCCAAGAATTAGGAAAACAATAAGCAAATTTCATTTTTAAACATCTGAGAAAGGGAAAGAAAAGGCTCTGAATACAGTTTTGCCATTCTGTTCTAAATAGAAATTATGTGTTTCTGCTTATAAAACTGACACACAGTTAATAAGTTTGGAAAATGAAGAAAAAGAACTATTCAGAAATAACCTCTCTCAACTTTTTAGGCCTGTATTCTTGTAGACCACCCCGCTGCCCCCATGCATGTACGTGTGTATATGCACACACGCAAAAATTCACGCACACGCACAGGTGGGCTCCACAGAATTCTGATCTTTCTGTGCCTAGTGTCATACTCTGAAAACGTTTCCATGCCATTAAGTGCTCCTCCCATGTGTAATCTCTCAGTGTGTCTGCACATGTGGAGATGCAGTAATTATTTATCCCTATTTTGGCCACTTAGAATGTTTCTATTTTTGCTGCTAAAATGTCACTTCAGCGATCATCTTTGCAGAAGCATTTTTTGTTCCAATTAGTCCGTTCACTTAAATTCCTAGGATGGAAAGTTAGGTCAAAGGGGTTGGCTCTTTTCTAGAGTCTTAGTAAATGCTGCTGCACATAGGAAATGCACCAGTTTACCTCGTGCACCAGTGTTTCATGGCATCCTCTCTAACACTGAGTATTAATTTATTATTTGTCAATTTTAAAGATGAAAAGACCTGTTATCTTTAACATTTAATTTGCTTGACTGTTAGAACATGGATATTTAGTTGGCACTTACTTTTGGTCGCATTAATTCTGTCCCTTTTGCTAGTGCGGAGTCGGTGACTATTTTAACGAATATGTCTATCAGAGAAGTGTCGTTTGACACTTTTGCTTAGTGGAACTCCATGTTAGTCAAAATGAGGTGTCCTACGAATCAACACATGTATTTATATAATTCCACAGCTTTTAAAATAATCTCGTTCATGTTTTGCCCTGATGTTTGTTGCTGTGTGGATGGCATGCACATTTGTGCAGCATGGCATGTTTCATGTCTCTGCGGCTCACTTCCTCGCCTGGGGGGGTCCTCGCTCCAGCGCCACCTTTCACAGGCGGCGGCCCCCACCTGTGGCCTCACACAGCCCTGCCCTCCAGCCTCTGTCCCCGCTCCGTGCTCTCTTCCCTACCCTCACCACTTCCTGAAAGACCGTGTAATGGGTCTGTTTTTGCTTTGCCTGTTTTCTGTCTCTCTTTCCTAAATACACTGGATGTCAGCCTCACAGGGCCGAAGTCGCTCATGCTGTTTGTGCACCGTTGACTCCGCAGCACGGGGCACAGTGCCTGGGGTGGAGTAGGCATTCAGTCCATCTTCGTCGAATAAATGAATCCACTCGAGGCTGCCCACTAAGTTAGAAGATCCTTGTCCTGATGAAGCCTAATAGTTCGAACACCCTTTATTTCACATTAATTGAAAAATACATCAAGTGAACCTGTCGTTTTGTTTTGTGTTTTTGTAGCTAATTTTTCACACATTGCAGCTGTTGGCATTCACGGCTCTCGCCACTTTGATCATGAGGCTGAAGCTGTTTCTGACCCCTCACCTGTGTGTCATGGCGTCCCTGATCTGCTCTCGGCGGGTAAGGCCTTCGCTCCTGGCTGCGGGCCGACAGCCGTGGCAGCCGCCGTGCGCTCACCACGAGTGCTGAGCAGTCCACGGCCAGACGCGCGTGCCGGCTCGAGGGGTCACTCTGGAGGAAAACGAGCAACTTCAAGTCGCTGTGAAAATCACTCGCAGATTTTAACCGGAATTTCTGAGACGAGTGATGAGGCAGCCTCACCCCTGTGCCAGGGCCTGCCCACGGGCGTCGTGTTGGGTGGGGCTCAGGTCTGCGCCGGAGGGTCATGGCCCGCCACCCCGGTGCGGCTGATCGGAGGGCGGGCGCCGGGTGGTCGCGCTGGCTCTGTGCTGCTGGCTCGGAGACCCCTGGGAAAACTTGTCCATTCTGGGGTCCCAGCACGGAAGCTACTCTGCGCAGGAGCCAGACACAGTAGCTGGAATTTTGGGCCCCGGGTGCTCTGGAAACACCTTGGTTAGTGTTGATCAGGGGAGCCTTGTCTTAGAATGTCAGACGCTGCTTTTCCTGGGAGGAAACGCGTGTTCCTCCTGGTGGGGTTCCCCCCTTTCAGGGTGTCCATAAAGGCAGCCGGACGTTACGGCAGTTAGTTCTGGGGCGTTTCAAAACCGTGACCTGCTAATCTTAACCCCCGGGGTAAGCCAGCTCTAGGAGGGCTGGGTGTTCCTCCCGTAACTCTCCCGGGAGGAAAGCACACTTCCCTTTGCACTGGGCCCTGGGGTTCCAACACCTTTGCTGGTTCTCACAGCAGGGGGTGCTAGTCCTGGGAGTTGTTAGTGTCCATGACGATATCAAGTCTAAGTAGCAAGGTGAGAATTTAGTGCTGACCCCAGAGCACTCTTCACGTAAGAATGATAAATAAATGGTTTCTTTCATTTCAGCTCTTTGGCTGGCTTTTTTGCAGAGTTCGTTTTGAGAATGTCATCTTTGGCATCCTCACAGTCATGTCCCTCCAGGGCTGCGCCAACCTCCACGGCCAGTGGAGCATAATGGGAGAATTTAATAACTTGCCGCAGGAAGAACTGATACAGTGGATCATACACAATACCAGACCAGGTATGTAGCTGCTCAGTGCTTGGACACACCCGTTTACACACACACACACACACACACACACACACGCGCGGAGTCACACCCCACAGGCTTTGAGCAGGGTAATGGCAGTGCCCAAAGCTTGTCAAAAAGTGGTCCTGTGCCCTCTTTCAGTCCTTCCTCGGTAACCGTCAGAATGTCATGAACATCAGGAAGTAAGGATGGTTCACGGTTAGCTGTGTGCTGTAACTCTGAGATCCTATTGTATTCTAACCCGAACAAATTACAGAGCAAATGTATCTAGAGTGACAGAATTTCACCCCTTGTGACAGACCTTCGGAGAAGATGCTTGTGACTGCGGGGAGGTGAACCTCACTTCGGTCACTGCTGTCTGCCCCCACCCTGTCACACCTGTCGCATGCGGAAGAGTTAAAATCTTGGCCCTTCTGTTCTGTTCACCAAGTCGTTTCAAAGAGATGGTTATATATCTTACTTTAAATATTCCGAAATATTATTTTTAGCTTGCCTTTTCTTCTTCCTGTCTTTTTCCAGAGCCACCTCAAGCAGATAGATAATAGCTTCACTTTCAACTGCCTTGCTGGAGAATAAGCACGTTCGACAGTATTTTCTGTAAGCGGTCTCTCACCTTGTCCGAGGCTGTTCTTGATGTTTAGTGATTTTCCCTGGCGCAAGCTCTGCTGTGGTCTGTTTCCGTTTATCCTGTGACTCCTTGAGTCAGTTTCATCTTATCCCTTATTTGATAGACACCACTCTGCTGATTAATTATCATTAAGGTAAACCTTTATAAGCTTCGACTCAGATCTTTATTTGGTCTGTGGCTTTCAAAGGTGACAGTGCCTCCTTGCTTAGAGATTCCAGGCCAGTTTGATGAGAATTCTAAAGGTGACCTCCAGCGACCTTCCCCCTGGAGGAGTGCTGGCAGGCACCGCCTTGCTCTCCTGGCCCCTCCCCAGCTGCAGCCCATCCCTCCCTCCCCCCAGCTTTGCAAGGCGCCTGGTCTTCACGGCTTTCCTTGCGTCCCTTTGTTCTGGTGTCCCCGTCGCTCTCAGAGTGACTTCTGAGATAACTCGCACAAGCGCCTATGTCATTTGTCGCTGCCTCTTCTTGATCTTCTCATGAGTCTCTTCCAGCCCTGTGCTGTGAGTTCTCCGGGGTCACCACGTGTTTGCTGAAAGCAGTCCCGGGGGTTCCGCAGTGCGGGCGGGCCGGGGCTTGCGCTCAGGTCCCCACGTAGGGCTGTCGCGTAGGACTGTGCAGTTCACTCGTGCGCTGCGCAAAGGTGCCCGCTGGAGGGGAAGGTGGGAACCAAATCCACTTTGGCCCACTCACCCCGTGGTGTGTGGATGAGGCTCCGCAAGCCAGCGGGGTGCTTTTCCCTACCACATCCAGCAGCCCAAGGAGACCCGTATATTTATAGGAAAACATCCTGTTCTTGCCCTGTCATGTTCTTGTTTTCTTCCTCTCTCTCTGCCGTCGATGGTCTCTCCTTGGTGGTTCCAGCTCTAGCTGGACAGGCCTACATAGTGTCCTCCAGATGGCCCTGGCCCCAGGCTTGGGGCCCTCCCGCCCAGGGTTCCCAGGCTTGGTGGGCACTGTGGCATTGGGGGCCACCCTGTGCCTCAGAATGCTCTGCAGCAACCCTCTGCCCAGCCCGCAGACACCCGCGGCCCCGCCCAGCGGCCTGCCACCAGGAGCCGCTCCAGAGGTTGACACTGTCCCTAGGAAACAATCACCCTGGTAGAGAGCCACGGCTCAGGCCTGGGGGCTTTTCATCAGGAAGTATTGAATCTTGCAGTAAGAGATACACATTTCCACTTCAGTTGACTTAAATATTTTAAAGTTTAAGGCATAGGAAGAGATTATAATTCAAAATTATCTTTAGAATGCTTAGTTATATTCAAAAGTAAACATTTAGTTATTTATAATAGATCTGTTCTTATTGGTGATCTTATTGTGCTGATTAAAAAGGTAATAACCCTGGCTGGTTTGGCTCAACGGTTAGAGCGTTGACCCGCGGACCAGAGAGACCTGGGTTCGGTTCCCGCTAAAGGGCATGTACCTTGGTTGCAGTTTGTCCCCAGCCCCGGTTGGGATCATGTGGGTGGCAGCTACTCGATGTGTCTCTCTCACATCGATGTTTCTCTCTCTCTTCCTCCCTCTCTCTCTCCCGCTCTATCTGAAGGTAAATGCAAAAATGTCCTCGGGTGAGGATAAAAACAAAACAAAACAAAAAAACCACAATAATAACCTTCCTAATTATGTAGTCATTATACAGAAGTGCCAGGAGGTAAGCATTTGGCCTTTTTTGTCTTCCAAGAGAAGAAACTGGAAATGAAGTCAGATAGCGAGTTTTGGTCAATCCCAGTTACACAAAATGCAGATACATTCAAATCTGCCATCACTGCAAATGTATGAACGATAAAGTCAAGCAGACGCCAAGACGTGGTAATGAGGAATATTTAAAGATGACCCGAGGGAAGAAAGCAAGGCTCTCTCCCAGCAGGTCTTCCGGGCCACAGTTCACAACTCACAAAAGGCATTTTGAAAATGAGCCATGAGCCCTGGCCATTGTGGCTCAGTTGGCTGGACACTGTCCCATGCACTGGAAGGTTGCGGGTTCGATTCCCAGGCAGAGCACATGTTCTGGTTGTGGGCTCAATCCCTGGTCAGGGGCATGAAGGAAGCAGTCAACTGGTATTTCTCTCTCATCGATGTTTCTGTCTCTATTCCTCCCCCTTCATCTCTCTCTAAAAATCAATAAAAACATATTTTTCAAAATGAGCCATGAGACTTGCCCATTAGCCCACCTAAGAGTCTAGCCTAGCATTTTAAGTTGGAACAAGATATGAAATTCTGCCATTCTTTCTCAGCACAGTGCCAGACGCGGCAGGAGCTGGCATCAGGTGGCGAGGAGGGGGCCTCAGACGCTTCTCGCTGTGTGGTCTTGGGAAAGTCACTTAACCTCGCTGAGTCTTGGCTTCCTCATCTATGGAATGAGAATCACTTAGAACCCACCATGTCAAGCTGTGCAAATGAAATTGTGTGATCCTAGTAGCAGTATTTAGCCCAGTTCCTGGCACCAGGAACACATGTAACAAACATTAGCTATTATTCCGGAAGACGGTCAGTCAGTGACGAGTGAAGAAAAATCACGGTGCCTGTGGTTACGTGTACTTCAGCGTTCTTCATTCAGGGTCCAGATAGACAAGTCGCCTTTGCTCTTCTTTACAACATGTCATTAAGGGATATAATCTTTTTCAGATGCTGTGTTCGCGGGTGCCATGCCTACGATGGCAAGTGTCAAGCTGTCCACCCTGCACCCCATTGTGAACCACCCGCACTATGAGGATGCAGACTTGAGGTTGGCAGAGCTGATGGAGTAGTTCACCCAGACACACTCACAAGTCGTGCTGACTCTCAGGACTAGGGAAAAGTTTACACATGCGCACACACGCTCTCATCCTCGTATCCATACTGGAAGTTAAACGTGTGCACTATCCATCCAGAAATTGCATGCATATCTGGACTCTGAAGCCAGTTAATAAGCTCTGGGAACTGACAAAAGCAAAAGCCAATTTTTTCAAAGTGAAAAATGTGTCACATGCTTATGACTAGCCTCAGTGTACATGCATGTGTGTGTACATGCACATGCATGTGTTCGTTCCAGTAAAACTCAGGAGTGATAACGAGCTGAGATGGATTTGGCTCATGGCTGTATCCTCCAGCCCCTGCTTTGGATTCCACAGCCCTCCCCCTATTTTAAGACACCGATCTCCATCTTACTGCTGGCCAGTGACTAGCCTTTTTGAACAGATAGAAAAAAAAAAAAACATGAAATTTGCAATGTTACATGCTTTTATAAAAATTTAGGGTGTCGCCCTGGCCGCTTTGGCTCAGTGGTTGGAGCGTCAACCTGTGGACCAGAGAGTCCTGGGTTTGGTTCCTGCTAGGGGCATGTACCAAAACAAAAAAAAAAAATTTAGGGTGTCCTTCTGCTAGATAGTGTGGTTATGAGAACTCTAGTTTCCACTGAAGTCTGAAAATTATGTTAAGTGACTGGTTTTAAGAAATTATTTTAATCGTAGTAATTGTCAGGGTAATTTTTTCCTTTGCCTATCATTATAGATAATATTTTTGGCCTATCATTACAAGTAAAATTTTAAATTATTTGAAGTTTGATGTCCTGTCGTGGAGTTTGGGCATCCCACATGCAACTCCTAAGACATGTCTAGTGCGTAAATGGGCATTTGTTAAGATTTCACAGAAACTCACATTTAAGGCTAAGTCATGTATTGTTCCATATCTTGGTGAACATCCCTGTGTTCCAAGCTTCTGTGAAGGTACTTTATCTACTGCTGCCCTCGACACCCATGGTCCGAATGTTCTGTTTCCTACATTCAGCTCAACTCACATGTTTTCAGATCTTCTATAGATGAAACTATCTACTGAGATCTATGTTTTAACTGTATTTAGCTTCTACCAGAATGTGCTCCATAAGCAGATTGTTTTATGAATTGTACAATGCAAATTTTATATTCTGAATGATTAACCTGTTCTCCAACTCTAGATACTAAACTGGTTTATAAGCAAGCAATACATGCAAAGTTCAAACTGCTGTATGTTTTAGCATGTGCACAATATATGAAGTGCAGAAACTGCTGTTCCCAAAGTAATTCATGCTGCTTGGGGTCATGTATATATAAATGTCCATCCAATGAGCACTGAGATGTTAATTTACTAGCAACATTTTTATACTCCAATCTTACCATAAATTAAAATTTTTAACCTGTCTTTAAATTTAAAGGGCTCGGACAAAAATAGTTTATTCTGCATATAGTCGAAAATCTGCAAAAGAAGTAAGAGATAAACTGTTGGAGTTGCATGTGAATTATTACGTTCTGGAAGAGGCGTGGTGTGTTGTGAGAACCAAGTGAGTACGAGCCCTAATTAAGCAACAACTGTTTTACTTTTTTAAAGTAGTCCTGATTTTTTAAAGAATTTTTATTCTAAATAAATTTTATTAAAATATTTTATTTAAAATTATTTCTTATATGAAAGTAAAATTGTACTATCACTTCAGTAGAATTCAATTAAAAAATTATAGTGTACTTTAGGTTCCTCGTTTTTTAATTTTAATTTATTATCTTAAATGTAGCATTTTTTTCATAAAGATTTTTCTGTTTTTATGATAATGTTTATGAGATGTGTGTAATACAGATTGAGTTCACAGCCAAGTGAAACACTAGAGTTCTGTTGCTACAGATGTGTTACACTGGATTGATAAGGGTTATAAGAAAAGTTTCACATAACTTAAGAAGACATAATAAAAATATTTTTAATTAAAACATTTTAAATTTCTGAGTTTCGAATCTCTAAAAATCACAAAATTAAAAAATGTTTAATGGATAACTTTAGGCTTTTTTTTAGACTTCTTGATCTAAGAGGTGCTGAGTTTTATTAAGCCCAACAGGGAACATTTTTATTTCTCCTGTGGATAATTAGGAATTAGGGTATAACAGTGTTGGAAAGCTAAGTTCACAAATTTTAGTGGCTTGTTTTTATATATAATGTTAATATCTAGTAAATATATCTAGGAAGAAATGGCATCTTGCAAAAGAAGATAGAGGAACATCATAATGTTTGTGCATGTGAAATCATATTGACTTAAATTTAATAAAACAAAATAGACTACAAAACGAGGCTTATTTTGTAATGGCAAAAGGATTACTTCATCAAAGAAACATAATTATGAATGTGTATACCTCTAAACAGCACTTCAAAGGACACGAACTAAAAATAATGCAGAATTAAAAGAAAGACACACAAATCTTCATAGCTGGAAATGTTACTCCTTTTTCTTTTCTTTTTTTAAATTAATTTATTTTTTAATCCTCACCTGAGGATATTTTTTCCATTTTTTGTTCAGATAGAGTGGGAGGGAGAGAGAGGACGAGAGAGAGAGAGAGAGAAAAACATCAACGTGAAAGGGACGCATCAAGTGGCTGCCACCTGCACGACCCAACCAGGGCCGGGGACAAACTGCAACCGAGGTACATGCCCTTAGCGGGACCCGAACCCGGGCCTCCCAGGACCGCAGGTCGACACTCTAACCACTGAGCCAAACCGGCCAGGGCAACAGTCCTTTTTCTACTGGAAAAGTAGACAAGAAGCCAGTAAGGATACAGGGCGTGAGCAAGGACGGTATCCAGCGCCCTGGTCGATCAGCACGCAGCCCGGTGCGGCCCCAGCTGGAAACCACGTTCTTTCATGAGCACGGGAGTCCCCAGAAGAGGAGATGCGCTGGCCGTGAGAGCAGGCTCAGTGTGTCTGAATAGTCTGAGATCAATCAAATTAGACACCGATAAGAAATAGATGCCCAGTAAAGCCATACACATTTGGAAACTAGGCAGTGAACTTAAGGATAACTATGGGTCACAGAGAGCACCACAAAGGAAATATTAAAAAATGATATATTTTACTTGAATGGAAAACAAGTCCTTTAAAAACTGTTGCTGAGCCCTGGCCAGTTTGGCTCAGCGGTTAGAGCGTCCGCCTGCGGTCCAGAGAGACCCGGGTTCAGTTCCCGCTAAGGGCATGTATCTCGGTTGCAGTTTGTCCCCGGCCCTGGTGGGTCGTGCGGGTGGCAGCCACTCAATGTGTCCCTTTCACATCGATGTTTCTCTCTCTCTCTCTTCCTCTCTCTCCCTCCCACTCTATCTGAACAAAAAATGGAAAAATGTCCTTGGGTGAGGATTAAAAAAAACAACAAAACTGTTGCTGATCTAACTGGGCATCTGTATAGAAGAAAGTTGAACCATGACCCTGTACTATGCCACACACAATATAAAAGCTAAAATTATAAAGATTTCTTAGAGCACAGAGCACTAACCATAAAATATAAAGTCAGTTACATATGTGACAATTGACATTTTTTTCTCAAAAGATGGTAAGAAAATGAAAGGGCAAGTTACAGATTGGGAGAAAACAATCGCAACGCATATATCTGATAACAGACTGACATATATAGTTTATAGAAACATATTTTACAAATTGCTGATACCTGGAATCTGAAAATACTGAGCTGAGAGCTGCTACACCCGCAGGAGACCCAGCCACGTTAACTGACTGCAAACAGTCATCAGGAGAACACAGCAGATTTCAGAATCACAATTTGTGATCTCCAGTGTCCAGTTTCCAACCAGAAATGATCGGATCTACAAAAAAATGGACGTGTGACCAATTCGAAGGAAAAAAGTTGGTGGAAACTGATTTCAGTAGGCCCAGATGTTGAACTTAGCAGTCAACATCTGTAAAGCCTCTATGGTCAACATAGTCAAATAATTAAGGAAAATATTCTTTAGTGAGAAATATTACTTCATCCCATCCACTCACAGAGCCACCCAAATGGAAAGGGTTGAGGGGAGCAGATTTGGCCTAAGACCTTCCCTTTCCTGTGTTGACTGTATGTTTTCATGCACCAATTTAAGCTCAAAAATATGATTTTCATCAGGAATTATATAAACTTTTTAAAGTTTTGTCTCATTCTACTAATAGGCCTTATGTTTGGCTGGCAATATCACTTAGAAAATATATTGATTTATATTTATTTTGAAAATGAATGTTTAAATATGTAGTTCTGAACATATACTGATCCTTTCTGAGATTCACTAACATATTGATCATTTGATTAAGTGGAACATGAAAAGGCAACGTAATTTCATTTTTCTCTCTAAATATTGAACTTATTCTGACATGGTGCCTGAAAACCTTTACTATATTGAAAAATTAGCCTCTCAAATCCTAGGCGCCGCTCTGCACTGTCTGTGTCCCCGGACCCGAGTCACTGTTGATGTGGTGCCCTGTGCCTTGCTTGCAGGCCCGGCTGCAGTATGCTTGAGATCTGGGATTTGGAAGATCCTTCCAACACCGCGAACCCTCCCCTGTGCAGCGTCCTGCTCAAGGATGCGAGGCCGTACTTCACCCTCGTGTTTCACAACAGCATGTACAGAGTGCTGAAGGTCGCCTGAGCGCACAGCTGCCCATTGCCTTGTGGTGCAAAGAAGTGTGTCGAAAACAATCACTTTGGCTTATTTACACGAATAACAATCACAATCTTTAATAAGGGACCCTTAAAAAGAAGAGTATAAAATGATTTAGTTTTTCTGATTGCTCAAGGGTAAATTCTTTCATTGTTTTCCATTCAATGGCAGCCTCATTAAGCTTGTCACTTAAGTAATTAAATCGTTTCATGCTGCATAAACAAATGTTCATCTTAAAGTTTTTTAAAAAATTGTATGTAAAGAAACAATGAAATTTAATAAATCAAAGATACGCATTTCTTTCTGAATCCAACTAGGTGAATTGCTTCAGATTTTCTCTAGTACAGGATACGCTGGTTCAAACACTCTAGACCGCTCGGACAGACTAAGGCCATTTCTGAAATGACCCCTCAGATCGGGATACCAGCCCCAACTTCTTACCTCTCTGCGGCAAGCTGTGTAGACTGTGCTACTACCAAGGTTGTTTCTGCTTTTGCTAGCCTTCAGGAAAGGCCTTTAATCGCTTTTAATAACTTTTTATCATTTCAAGTTAAATATTTTTAAAAACAGCTTGGTTTGTAATGTTTTGAACCCCTAGGATTTCTTTACCCAACCAGAGAAGTAGTTTTTCCATTGATGAGTTCTCAGCCTAAGTTCAATGAGTTATTCATCTGTCTTTAGAATCCAGTGGTTTTTCTTTCAATATCCAGATGAAATAAAAATTGCTGTCATACATGACATAATTTGGGGTTAAACATAATCAGAAAAGAAAATCCAGTTAAATGTATCCAATGAGATTTTAAGGTTCTGGATCCTGAATGAGGCAAAGGCATTTCGTCTTGGTAGCCGCGTGGTTCACTGGACATAATTTTTCTTTCTGGTCACCGTCCTTTGTAATAAAATAACATATTTTATGTCCTCATTTATTTTTGGGTTTCAACAAGGAAGGTGATGTTTTATAAATTCTCTCCCCTAATATAAAACCTACCCAACAATAATGCTTTGAAAAGGGGTAGTTATCTTAAAGATATTTTTGCTAAATGCAAAGATAAACACTCTCTCTGTGGGTAGATATTAAATATACCACATCTGTAGTATTTTTAATGTGCATCTATTTTAAATTAACATCTTGTAGTTTTTGTAATTCTCTTATGTTCTTGGCCCTCTATATTTGAGGTAACAAAATGACTTAATTCCATAGATCAGTTTATATAGTTGGTAGGAGATTATATAGAGAAAGCCAATAAAATTATTTCTTGACTTTTATAGTTGTAAAAAATTTGAATACAGGATACAAAGCAGCTAAGAAAGCATGCCACATTTCACTTTGCTTTTCCAAATAATTTGCTTTGGTGTATGGGGCAAAGAAGGAAAAGAGACATAACACCTAACATTCATGAAATTAATGTAACACATTGGATGATGTTTTCATAGGAAACATTTATAAAGTTGGCAGAATTCAACAACTACAACAAATGGGACAAATTGTATTAACTAATAAAACATTCCATGTAGCCATAATGTGTTATATGGATTCATGTTATTTTCATGTGCTATGTATGTTTAGAAATTAAAAGAGGCCTTAAAGATTCTGTGAGTGTTTTCTATCTTTCCCCATCCTTTCGCAAGCATACATTCTGAAATGGAAATAGTTCTGGAATGAAGGTAGAAATCACAGGTTCCTGGATTTACTAACCATGTTTATATTGGCAATATATTTCTTAGCTATTTTAAAACAATGTTGCATAGTCTCACACACAAGGCATTGGATGTGATGGACTTTGTAACCAGATGGGTCTCAGTTGGAATCCTGGTACTTCCAGTTACTAGTTGTATTACTTACCGCACATTCTGAAGATACTTACTGAGCACTTACTGTATGCCAGGCACCGTGCTAAGTCTGGTCATGTTTCTTGCCTCTCTGAGCTTCAGTTGTTTTACCTGTGAGTCAGAAGTCACAGGACCTACTTGGAAGGGTCATGATGAGGATTCGTAAGTGTGTGGAAGTGTGTGGCACGTGTAGGACTCCACAAATGTTATTCCCACTTGCCCCCTCTCCCCCGCTCACTAAATGCCGGTCAGTGACATCAAGTCACATGGTAGGCTACCTCATCTCCGCATTCCAAAGAGTTCTGCCCTCACTTTGTGTCAGTAAACAGGAACACTATACTGTAGCCCCCGAATGATGAGAACTCTGTTTTTGCAACCCAACATACTCGTGTATTGACGGTTTCTGTGTAACAAGCACCCGTGTTCTATAATATATAGGAAAAATACAAATTAAATTTGTTTTTATTTTTTTAAAAGGTCATGATTTTAGCCCTGTCCAGTTTGGCTCAGTGGTTGCAGTGTTGGCCATTGGACTGAAGAGTCAAGGGTTTGACTCCAGTCAGGGGCATGTACCTGGGTTTCGGGTTCAATCCCTGGCCTCAGCTGGGGTTGTGCGGGAGGCAACCAGTCCCTGTGTCTCACATCGGTGTTTCTCTCCCACTCCCTCTAAAAATCAATGCAAAAGTATCCTCAGGGGAGGATTAACAACAACAACAATAACAAAAGGTCACGATTTTTATTACCCAACCAGCAGCGGCCATTGTCAGGAGAGAGACTGGGGGCATCGAGGCTGATTCCTCCCAGTTCCAGACCCCTGTCTGATTTCCGAGGTCCCAGCGTGGAGAAGTCCTTTGAGAACAGCGGAGTCGGGACAGGCCACCATGTCCGCGTCTCTGCGTGGTGACCACCAAGCCTGGCTCACAGAACTTCTCCAGCCAAGTCCAGTTATTTCACATGAACTCTGGGGCCTTATTAGACTCTCTTTACCGTGTTGTTAAGCAAAACGATCTTAGTCTGAAATACAGTTATTGTTTATCCCACGTACTTAGTGATGTATTATAAAAACAATTTCTTTTCAAATAAGGAGAAGGAAATATACACTAAAAACCGTCAGTGGGCAAGATGTTTCTTTTATGTACACCTATTGCCATCTGCTGGTTGTGAAATGTTATAACATCTGTCATGAAATAGCCACAAAAAGTGTTAAGGAACTAGTTGGCGTGTTTGAAGAGAAAATAGGAGAAATCCAGGGAGAAGCAGAGACCTCGAGGACACGAACTACCCTTCCTTGTAGTTGTGATTGTCTCTGCAGGCAGAAATGGAACAGGAGTTTCTGGTTCTTCTCTTCCTTACCTATCACATATCTATTATTTCTTCCACATCTCTCTCCACTGGTGCCTTCGGTGGTTCTTGGCTTTGGTCCCAGTCTCCTCATCCAGGATGATTGACACTCCCAACTTCTCTGCAACACAGAATTATTTGAAATCACCAGCATCTTTCTCCTGCCGGTGCTCACACTGTCCCCTCAGTTTAAAGTATTACCTGTCCTCCCACATCCTCCTCTTGCTTATACCTTCAACTCTTGGCTCAGATGTCGCCTCCTCCAGGAAGCCCACCCTGACCACCACCTTCTGAGGTCTGCTAATACCACCCCACTTGCCATGTTGTTTGATCATTTAAAAATGACCTTTTTACCTTTGGGAGTCACTGACTGAGCTACTTAAAATAGGGTTTGTGTCTTATTTAGTTCTGTGTTCCACTTAGCACAGTACCTGATGTATCATGGATGCTCAGTTACCTGAAGAAATAACATGAAAAATACCTGATTGAAACATAGGAAAAAATTAAGATAGGGTGGTTGGTGGTCCCGTGGGGTAATTTTTACTGTTTTCTGTTCCTGCTCCATACCTAATTTATTCCCAAAATTGATCAGCACATCTCTTAGGTCTCTGACACTGTTTGGGGTGTTCTGGGGGTCCAATACAAAATATTAGTATGTAGATTAAGACTGGGTTTGAGTCCCTGCTCTCCACTTATTAGCTGGGCAATTTAACATTGAAAAATGTTCTCACAGGCAAAATGGAGACATAAAAGGTTTACAGGGGTGGGCAAAAGTGGGTTTACAGTTGTAATATAATAATATAAGAATAAACTGGTTTTGTGTACTCACAACTGTACACCTACCTTTGCCCACCCCTGTATTCCTCTGTTAGAGAGAAAACCACAGGTCCCAAATGGCATCACTTGTGCTCAAGCCCCTGATACCACACCTAGATTTAATATCGGACCTAACTGTTTCACCCTCTCCCCAAAATAGAAACTTGCCCAGCCTGCAATTTCCTGGTGAATCCAATAAGGCAACCTGTCACAGGGGTCTTCTCCAAGCCCTATAGATAGAAGATGTGATTTACAAGATAAAAGAAGATGTGGTCTAAAAATAACCCTTTCTCTTCTTTATAAAGTTAATAGCCCCCTTGCTCCATCCTTCTCCCTATAAAATCCCCCCATTGTGTACAACCCTGCTGCTGAGTGCCCTCCTATTTGCTGGATGGGATGCTGCTTGATTCATGAATCGCTTAATAAAACCAATTAGATCTTTAAATGTGCCCGCTTGAATTTTGTCCTTTAACACCTCAAAATGGTCTTTTTTTTTTTATCCTCACCCGAGGACATTTTTCCATTTTTTGTTCAGATAGAGCAGGAGGGGGAGAGAGGAAGAGAGAGAGAGAGAGAGAAACATCGACATGAAAGGGACACATCGCGCGGCTGCCACCCACACGACCAACCAGGGCCGGGGACAAACTGCAACCGAGGTACGTGCCCTTAGCGGGAACTGAACCTGGGCCTCTCTGGACCACAGGCCAATGCTCTAACCGCTGAGCCAAACCGGCCAGGGCTCAAAATGGTCTTTTAAAGAGAAAAATAATGTGATACATCTAACACATGTAAAACAGAAGTGCCCCAGAGGCTGCTATTCTTTTGTTTTGGTTCAGCTCTGAGTAGTGCTGACTGCATGGGGTGTGTGTTCTCCATTCAATACTTCGCTTATTCTTTAGGCACTACCTGTCCCTTCTGGAGTCTATTATCAAGAGTTCGCTCTGCCGATTTGGGAAGCTAAACTGTTGTGCTATTTCTCTGATGAGGTGTATCTTTAAGTT